CGCTCGTCCATAAATGTGAGCCTCATGCGTTGATGGCTCCGAGCAGCGAGCAGCCCTCGCTGGAGGCCCGCGATAAACGACAGAAGCTATCAAGCCCCCGGCATGTTCCTTGAGAAGGAATTGTGGAATGAATGAATGAGTGAATGAATGAATGGATGGATGGACGAGTGAATTTCCGGGCAGACAAGTAAAAGTCGGAGATGCTGCGCCTGCTGCTTGCCCCTGCCAGGCGAGAAAGGAAGAAATCGGACAGATGTGCGGTAACAAGGTGAAAGGGGGGGAGGTCAGACCATGGGCAGAGAGATGGATGTGGCGATATGACGAGAGAGAGACGGAGAGTAGGGTACCGATGCCCGTCTCCTGCATTAATGACTTGTAACGGCCGGGCGTGGACCACCATTCCTTCTCCAACGAAGCTGTTGAAGGTGCTGAGGTCATGTCAGGGAGTCAGGAGGTCTTCTTCGCTCTGCAGGATTTTTTTGGTCATCAAAGGCAAGGGTACGGAGGACGGAGGAGATGCAAGCGTTTTAAAAAAAGTTGGATGCAGGCTATCATAACTCCCCGAAGAAAGCGATGGTAGTCAAGTGTGTAAGGGCCGAGAATAATAGGTGCAGCCGTTCGGGGGGTAGTAGTCCTAGGGGGCCTATGGATGGCGCGACTCAGGCCCCGGCCTTCCTCAGTGAGCGAGCGAGCGAGCGAGCGATCAAGCGAGCAAGCGCGAGCCTCTAGCACTAGCACTAGACTCCCCCCCCCCCCCCCCCCCCCCTTCCCCCTTCTTCCCCCACTAGACCGGACCGGACTACTCTGCTCTGCACTAGTCTACGCTGCCTTAGCCTTAGCCCTAGCCCTAGCCCCGACCTAGCCCCAGCCCCAGCCCCCTGCCCCCCGACTCGGCTCGACGCGACTCGACTCGAATGGACTGGCGTGGCCGGGACTCGGGTAGTTGCGGGAGTGCTAGCGTAGCGTAGAGTAGAGTAGAGTAGTGTAGTGTAGAGTTGAGGTGCGCAACCCCTCAAGGAGAAAAGGGGGCCAGCGGAAGGCAAGAAGACGAAATGCATGACATAATATCATGATGAAATCGACGGAGCCTCTTTTCGAAGAGGCGAACAACATTGGGCAACTCTTGCAGTGACATTCTCTTTTCTTCTCCAGTGACATTCGCCCGCCTTCCTCCGCTTTCCGGTGGCGGTCTGGTCGATCCCTGACTCCCTCCTCTCGCGGCCCGGCCCGACCCGGCCCCGCTGCGCTCAGCCCCATAGTCATAACAGGAGCACTCGAGTCCAGGCCAGTAGCGGCAGCAGCGGAGGAGAGTAGGACCGAGGGAGTAAAATGGAAAAGGTGGAGGAGGAGGAGGAGAGGGAGGGTGTCGTCTTTTTGCTCTTCAGTGTGGGCTATATCCAGCAGCAGCAGCAGCAGCTGGAGGACAGAGGCCGGGGCCTGGAGCTGTCCTTAGAGGGATAGAGCGAGGGAGGGAGGGGAGAGCGGTTGGGTCGGGGAGCGAGGCGAGGCGAGGCGAGGGATGGGGTGGGACGCCGAAGTGGTGTCATAACTTACAAGCTTCTCTTCTCAGCAAATGCAATTCAATGCAATGCTACTTTTGATGGCTCTGGGCGCTGTGCAGAAGAGAGAAAGAAGAATTTCGGGCAATAAATTTTCTGAACATGCCAGGCGCTTCCTTCTCCCCTCACATCTTTCGGTATAACCGGCTAGGGGATTCCGGACGATCGAACTTGTAGGAGCCATGACGCCAGCCTCGACGTCAGCCCCGGTCCAATTTTGTCAGTTCGATTTCTCTCGGGTCCACCACTCATTAATGGCTGGAGAGCGTTCGCGAAAGGCCCACCCCCCCAGGCAGGGTGCGTGCCACTTTTTGTAGAAATGTGGCTATCCGTCCACGTTTTCTCTTGCAATACCGTTCAAGCGGCCCGGCCCTCCCCTCCCCTCCCCTCTCCCCCTCCCCTCTCAAGCCCTCTCAAAGTAGCTAGCCCCATCTCCAAGCCACCCAGCCGAGCCCCAGCCCCAGCCCCAACCCCAGCCACCCAGCAGCAGAGGTCGAGCTTTCGTTCGTTCGGTCGTCCGCTTGCTCCTTCATGCGGAGAGAGAGAGAGAGAGAGAGAGAGAAATAGAGAAAGAGAAAGAGAAAAAAAAAAAAGAGTTGAGGGGAGAGATGAGAGTTTCGAGGCGAGGAGAGGAGCCGTTCAACAGTATACTAGTTCATCGCTGGGCTCGCGCATTTCTCCCTCGTCCTCGTCCGACTACCGTATGGAGGGAACAGGATACTTTTGACAAGCTCTGGCATGGTGGGGGGGAGCATCGACCCTCCATATCATATTCTCATCAAAGTTCGTTATGGTGCCGGTGCAATAGTTCTCCCACCTACCTAACTGTCTTACTTTCGAGTGTGTTCCGCTCCAACAGTGGAGAGTAGTGAGTCGCGAGAAGGATGGAGGTGTAAAGCCTGTGGCAGGAAGGGCCAAGCACCCGAGCCCAAGGCAGCATCAGCAACATCGGCAGCACAACAGCATAGTAAAGCTCGTGATTGACGCTGCGAAAGTGTCAGCGTTGCATCCGTCTTTTTATCTCCACTCCTCTCCTCTGGCCTGCTCTCCTCAGCCCCCAGTCTATTCTATCCTCCTCCTCCTGTCCATCTTGTTGCGAGGGCAACCAGTGGTTATTACTCCTCGCCTCTCATCTCCTCCGAGTTTCCCTATGACACCCTCGGCCTCGGCCTTCCTTCCCTCCCTCTCTGCTCTGCTCTCGAGTCTCGATGCGCCCATTCCTTCCTTCCTGCCTTCCTTCCGTTTCATTACCCATTAAAGCAATCATCTGGAAGTTTTCCATCATGCTGAACCTCTCTGGCCTCATCCTTAAAGTAGCAGGATCGGCCGCAGGAACAAAACCAACAGTTGCAGCCGCAGTAGCAGCAGCTGCTGCTGCTGTTGCTTCTGCTGCGGCTCTTCCACCGGACTCCAGACTCAGACTTCAGATCGTTCGGTTAAAATGTACCGATTCCTATTCCACCGAATCCACTCTCCTTTTAACAGCTGCTTTCTCCCTCCTCCTCCCTCCTCCCATGTCTTCCTTCTGCTTCCTTCTGCTTCCCCCATTTGTCAAAGCGGCCATCCCTTTGGGCCTCTTTTCGCCCAATAATCCGCTTGACCGGGCCCGATGAAAGCACCAGTCACAACTGGATGCGACCCATACTCTGGGCCATGTCCACAACCAGAAAGGCCCAAACTATTTTATTCTTTCCATGCTTTCCAATCACTGTGCATCACTTTTGCAACAATCAACTACCCCCCTCCCTCCCCTCCCCTCCCCTCCCCCCCGCCGCGCGACCCTTCTCCACTCTTCGTTATATTCGTTGCACTATCTGCCTAATCTGGTCTGGATTGCCTGCTGGCGCTCTGGCTGATTATAGATCGGATCAGTTTGTTCGTTTCTTCTCACTCGCCTTTTCTCGCCTCCTTCCTTCCTCGCCCTCACTCCCTCACCTTTCTATTCCATTCATTCATTACACATTCCTCTGCCTCTGCCTCTGCTTCTGCTTCCTCTTCCTTTCCCTTCTGCCTCTGCTGAGCTTTGCTGCCTGTCTCTTTCGAGGCTGCGGTTTGTCTTTTGCTTCATCGCAACCATCGGGCTACAACACAAACCCCATGCTCTAGCTGCCGCTCTGTCTGCTGCGAGCGATGTAGCCCATGTTTTCATGGAGCTTTCTCTTGTCTTTGCTTCCGCAGCATCTGTCCCTCGATTTTCTGCATATTTTATCCTCGCTGTATGAAACCAGGTGCCTACGTCCGCTCTCGGTTCTGTTTTTGTTTGCTTCTTTTCCTGTTCTCGCATGTTTTGTTTCCCGTCCTCCCCCCTTCCGGAAAATGTGTGGTTTGCATTCCCTCTCGGTGACATGTTCACCCCCCTCCCCTCCCTTGGCTTTCCCCATCTCGATTTTCTTCCACCGAAAGATAATGATTTCCAAAAGATCTCGTCTGCACGTGGCGACTAGAGACAAGAGCTCCATGACCATAATTCTCTTCTTCTGTACCCGACTTGAGCTTGGAGTTTGCGACTTGAGTCCTCCGCGAATGCACTTTGTCCCAGTTTCTATTTATAGTCCACCGAATTTGCCTGTGCTCGTGCCTATTCTACATTTATTTCTTGACCGTGAAGAGTTGAGTGACGGTCATACACATACTCTTTATATATCTATTACCACAAATATTATCGCACCTTCAAATTCTTTCAGAAATATACTGTATACTGCATGTAACTTATATCGATACAAATTAACATATATACAATAACGTATCATTCTCATTGGGTAATATTGTCCCAGTAATTCTAATTCTAGTCCAAATTAGCGGACTCTTCACTCTTTCAGGAGATTATTATTCTTGAGAATACTTTTGAGTCGTATACTTACGTAGACATGTTTGTTTCAACTTATATTCAAAGTACGATCGTTTTCATCTGGGTGTTAGGAACTTTTGAGGTTTGAGAAAAAGGATCTCAGCTTGGACTTCTTTACTCTTGCTTCAATGTGAACTATGTCAACTTTCAAATCGTTGAGCTTTTCTTCTCTCTAGAAGGTTGACTTTTTTAATTTCATGCGAAAATTGTGTCCAAGTGCTTGTTTGCAACGCCATGTTGATTTCGTGTTTCGTGTGCTGCCGTATTCCTCTCTGGTCAAATAGTGAATTCTCCTTACTATATATTAGCTATATGAATAGCTAGCTTTTGAGAATGTACCAAACAAATCGAATGGGAGCGCTCCAGTATTTCATTATCTCCAACCCCAACAAAGTTGTAACATCACATCAAGTGTTTTTCATGCAGCTGCATGATTCGAATTATAATGCTAGGTGGTATACGATGGGTGAACTTTTACAAAACAAGCCTATTGTAATATCCAATTATACACAGGTCAAATCTGTTTGGAACACCTCACCTTGTACTTAGTGGGTGAATAAAAAATTTCAGTTTCCAATACTTGAAATTACCCTAGTCATGGTTCATGCATTCGCATAATTTACCACACCGTAGTTTAAGAACGACAAAATTAAACTGGAGATGAGATCTGAGTTTTCGTATTGAGTCTTAATCTCAGTCAGTCACAAGTAACGTCTTATGGAATAGTGCTTTGCAACTAGTGAAGCATGAAAAGTTTTATTCCGCTCTGTCCTCCACAGGACCATATTTGCTCCTGGAGAGTCCATACGTCAACGCTCCCGGCAGACTAGTTGGTTGCCTTGTCAACTCAACACAGAACTTGTCAATATCCAAATTCTCTTTTTCTCTTGCCCAAATGGAACCGGGAGCTGGGGAAAAGCTGGGGGAAAGCAATCCGGCTCGGACGTCATGAAGGCATTGAACAGGAGGGGATGGAGGGGACGGGAGGGGACGGGAGGGTCATACGGGTATTTAGCGTACATATAAGCTCGTGATGGCCTGACAGGAGAGGAGAGTCAAGATCTAGGAAAGCGTCAACGAAGAGGAGTAGGAGGAGGGGGAGGGGGAGGAGGAGGCCGTTCATGCGTTCCAACGGAGGAATCTGATCGCCGGTACGAGCACATGGTTCAACAGGACACGAATCGATGGACATGGATGCTTCTGAGATCTTTCGCGAAAAGGGCAGCCATGCTATCGCTTGCTTGCGTAAATGGCTCTGTTTCGTCTCGTCTCGTTCGTTTGATCGCTGAAAAGTATGTGCGGTACACTCCCGACCATAATCTTTCGAGCCCAGGGCTGGCCCTCCCCCCGTCCCCCCCCTCAGATGGGGTCGGGACGGAAAAGGAAGGGTCGGGGCATGCATTGAAAAATTCGGTAGCACGACCGCAAGGGGAGGGGGATATCGTACGAGCAAGGGAGTGAGGGAGGGAGGGAGACTGGTTGACCCCCAAAAAGGAGGTCGGTCTGACTTCACCAGCATCATCACAAGCCTGGAAAACTAACGTTCCAGATGGCCACAAGTGCTTTTTCTCCTGCTCCTCCTCCTCCTCCACAGCACACAATCAGAAAAGGAATGTCACGAGCAAACCTGAAAGCGAAACATGAGCTTCATGCGCAGAAAGCCAGACAGGCAGGCAGACAGACATGAGCGAGGGATAATGAGAAACCATGAACCTGCCAGATTGGATTGGGTGGAGTAGAGGGAGTTGATTGGACCGGCAGCAGACATGCTTTCATGACGTCCGGTCGACTTCCTCCCCCCATCCTGTGATTTTGCTGCTTTTGAAGGGAGGAGCTTCCGACCAAGTTTCATGGACGGATGCACGAGTCGAGGGGGGAGGAGGACTGATAGAAGGTCGAGAGTCAGAAAGTGTTCATCACAAGCTGCGGTTTTCTCATATGGATCATTGCGGGATTATGTACCAACCTTAAAGACGATCTAGGTCTCCTGTAAAGGACTTTTACTAACTCCGCTGCGCAAGTACACGAAAAGCGTGTCTGCTAAAAGGGAAGAACTACTGCAAATGTCATTTTACGGACCACGGGCTATTATGTGGAACCTTTACTCCTCTTCACATTCTTGTCAAGGTCTTACCTTCTGGAACAAGACCATCGCCCTCTGCCTGTAGGAGATTGGGAACCCCTCACCTATGAGCTTCATAGTCGTCTGATTACACTCTCAACCTCACTTGGAGTGTACAGATGATATTTGGGCGCGACTCTGGCGATATACACATTCAATGATGTAACCTGCAGACAGCATCGTACATGAGCTGATGTATCTCTCGTCTGATGTATGACGTAACCACAAAGCTTCTCACGGCTGACATCGAGAGGGGAGTAGAAAATGGGTAAGTGAAACTCACACATGTGAACGAGCGACCGATGATGCCAAATAAGAGGAGAAAGAAATTCTAGATGGCTTTTTGATAGGAACAAAAATCAGATGCTAACCAAAGTCGACATTTTACTGAGCTGAACATCATCCCACTGTGTACGGACTGGCTGGAACATGAGAAAAGTCATGGAGGCACCGAGAACGTAGCATGGTGCATGAGCTCACACCGTTCCTAGCGACCGCAATGGCCGCCATCAATAGTCGTCGGTAGTTGCTTAAGCAGCACTATCGCCTTGAGTTTAAGATACCTGTTTAGTGTCATGAATACAACCGCAAGAAATCATTTCCTACCTTTTCCTCCATGACGTGTTTCAGAGTCGATAGCGCAAGCGTTTCTGCTTCCTTCAAAGTCATATCCTGCGTGAGAAAAGACCTCAGCGACGAGTACATTGAGTACGTCCAATAATTACACACAAGTGTTGCCTTTTACTTCACCAACTACTCCTTGCAGACGAACCTTGTGGTAATGTTCCTGAAGAGATGAGTTAGCACCCTCAGATCCAGATCCAATAGCTTTGGCATCACATGCCCAGGAGCTCCCAGATGGATCGGTATGGTATCTGTCCACCATCCCAAATCGTGTACAAGGTAGTTGGGCAGCGTAAATTTCACTATGCATTGGCTAATCTGCACCAATGGAGGAAAGAGAGAAAGTAACCATGACTCCAACAAAATAATATATATGGATTACTAGGGTGCCGAGAAAACTAGAACTGTCGTTACTCCGAAAAAATTATTTCTGCAAACGACTGAACAATCTATTCATTAAGTCCTTCAAACTCACAAACCAAAGATTTGTATTTCTAGAACGACATTTGATACTGAAGATGGATTTAAGGCGAAGCTACGTCTACTAATTGCAATACATTCTTCGGAATGACAGCCGCTTAATTTGGGGAACGAGATTGTTTTGTTCACTCACTTGCAGGAGGAGGTGGGCAAGGGTCTGACGTCCAGAGCGGAGGAAGAGAACTCACAGGCATGGACCAGTCTCATCGTGACCGGCGATAAGAAGGGCAACTCCAAACGGTCTCGACTGCAAAGCGATGTAAGATACTTTAAGTGCATCACAAAAATACCATCCACACTTCCATGCACTGCGGAGGCAACGCTTAAGGTCTTGAAGGAAACAACGGAGAGGAAGTGAACAAAACTTTCCCTACTGCTTTGAGGAATCCTAAATAATATCATTAAACTTTGTAGGCACAAGTATGCACAAATAATTGGCGCTGCTTGAGGTTGCCGATCACGAGCTAACATATGCTATAACGGTGCGTCCGTGGCTACTCAACAGAAGAAACTACAACAGATTGAAGCTTGTACAAAAAAAGTAAAAAGTTACTCGACAATTTGAAGCGTGTACATTACCGACCATTGATGGTTCTTCATCTGCAGCTTCGCCAAAGCTGAGTGCAAGGTCACATAATGCTTGAACTATCGATTTCACTGACATAGCCTCGTTGTAGGAAAACTTGTGATTCTGCTCCAAAGGGGGACGACAATGTCTCAAGCAAACGCTTCGCACTGAAGAAGAAAAATCGAAGTTTCTGAACATGCTATACATGACGGTCAACTCCAGGAGCCCAAGTAACTGCTACGGTCTGTTGTATTCGACAAGAGCGAGTAGGAAATCTGTCGACTTGCGGATGTGTTCAATGGGTTTTTGGTAAACTGGAAAATCAGAGGGGAGGTTAGAAACAAGGATAATATGTATACCTGTGCCTCAACTCGCCCATGCTCGACCAATGATGGAGCATCAGCAGTGAGGCCACTCACCGCACAACCAACGTGCGCGTCAATCTCCATAATCTTGTCAACACTGCTGGGCTCCTACATTTTGGCCATTGGAGAAGCCTCAGTCTAGGAGGACAAAATCAGAACGCCAGCCTTTAGTATGACTAACTTTAAGTAATCACCTAGAGAGTTGGAATGAGCTCCGAAACGACTGTTCGGTACAAAGTGCTCACCAAAAGTCCCGATGTTATTCTTTTCTCAACTGCGAGCACAACTCCCTCGTCGGTCTTCAAACCAACAGCTGTGGACCCGAGCTACACAAAAAACAACCCCTAACATCAAGACACAATTGACGGAATGCACATCTCACCGTATTCATCAACAAATATCTGTCAGGGGCACCTGACAGTGGAGGATGGTAATCTAAAACTCATGCACGTACAGAATCTTAAGTCTCCCGAATACGAGAGGAGGTTAACCTCAAAGTTTCAAAGTATTATAACAGTTACTTAATTTTCTTCCTGTGATGTTGTAACGCATGCTTGTAAGCAGAAATGTCATAAAACAGCCGCTGGACCTTCCGACTATGCATCATAACAGCTTCTTTGAGGTTGAAGTGAGGGAAACCTCGAATGCTTTCTTTCAATTGGCTACATATAAGGACGTCACGAAGTCCATTCCTATTGCTCCGGGCCTATACGTTCGAAAGTCAGAACAAACTGGATGTCTTCACGAAAAGATTGGAACGTAGTAAAAGTTCCTCACACCCCGTCCCTTTTGAGCAGAACTAAAAAGAATCACAGAGATTATGTCATGTTTGAAACGGTTGGCACCATATGATTTGGTTCAACCACTCCTCTTGCTGATAATATCGAGCTTATGCAGCTAGAAGATAAGACAGCTGGTGAGCGGAGGGTGTTCTTTGATCTGTTACCACTCATTTTAAACATCGCAAGGTCCATATTCTGGACTGAATGTAGACTGACATTTCGACTGTTATAGATTATAAACTGCATTCGGAACTTACACTCTGTGATGCCTCTCAGAAAGCTTAGAATTCAAGTTTCTCAATTATGTGCACTCAGATCGGAAGGAGTTTTTCGAAGAAGGCACAACAAGAAGAGGAGTCAAGAGGTGAAATGGAACAGCATCACACACACAAAGCGAAGCCGAAAACTAAATCGCAAATCATTTCAGCAAAAGCTATAGACGACATAGCTCCGAGGAGGACAGTGAGGAACCTTGATAGCTTCGATCGCATATTCGACTTGATACAGACGCCCTTCAGGTGAGAATGTGTTCACTCCTCGATCGTATTCACTCCTGCGCACAGAGCTCTAATCTCTCAGGCTTCGTTCCTTCCACAAGAAGAAACTTTTCGCGGGTCGCATGCTCAATAAATAACCGAACGCTCATTGGACAGTAAGACATAACCTACTGGTTTCACTCTCATCCAAACGAGTGTCAAATTAAAAATGAAAATGGCTCTCCCTTCTTACTCTTCTGCACTCCTACTCTCATGACGTATAATTGCAGAGAATCACACGAGTGGGCCGCACACCCGCGACTTGAGTTCTGCCAACTGCGGCCTCACTTTAACGATCAAGGCGAAATGGGACTGAACTGCTCCCACATTCGAGAACTGTAATTGAGGAACTTCATAATACTTGTCGATCAGGCCAAAACTACTTCAACAACACAGAAGCAGAAAAATGAACAAAGAAACGACGCGCGGCACAAGTTCGACGGACCGAAAAGTCGAGTTTCAAGCTATGCCGGAAGATCGATCGATCGACCAGCTTTCTCACATTACAGCAAATGACAGCCTATGAAAAACTCGAGCACCTTGTGAGAAACATGGTGATTTTCTCGTGACGAAGGGATGTCCTAAGAAGCGGTGTAGCGGCTGCTGCAATTCGGCACGATCCGGCGTCGATCACTGGGTCATAACAACCGCATGAAACTATCACCCTCTCGTCGAAAAGAGAAATTTGAAGGACGAAAGACGAGAAGCCAATTGGGAGAAATTGAACAGCGCCTCGGAGCTTCTTGGACGCTGAACTCCCTCTCCCGGGAACGGGACGGGCCGGGCGATGTGCAAAGCGGGCTTCTCCCGCTAATTCGAACTCCTCTGGCAACGACGGATCACTGCATGAAATTCGACGGGACAGGACGGATTCTGCCCTTCTGGTGACGTACTTCCAGTCGTCCCCTCCTTTTTAAGCCCAGCTTCCCAGTTTAGCAGACATTTCTTCCGTATCTTAGAAATATGTCTTGATGTCGGTCCTAAACTCGTTTCTTCTGATTTGGCATCTGCACTGATATCTCGCATTCATATGATTGGAAAAGTGGTGGTGAGATTCACTTCGTTGAGGTTTTCTTACGTCAGCTGATGTAGGGTTAGACTTTGCAAATCGGTTGACATTTTTCGCTGGTTTTAGGGTCTTGGAGCTAGAATAATACAACTGGAGCTGAAGATGTTATTTCATTTTCTTCCATTTAGCTTCAAGAAGTTGAAGATTCTTGATTGAGAGGGACCAAGTAATGTAGCACAAAGTACGGGAGCAATGGGATGCTAAAGAACGTGGGACACGGGATTAACCCCAAAGTTAAGATGCTTATGGTCTTCTGATTAAGCTCCCCTCTAATGTTGGGGACCTATACTCGGTGAGTACTAATCGTCGAATCCTTAGTTTATGAATGTAGGTATACAAATTCAACTTCTCGGGGTGGCAATCTCTTGTCCTCGACATCTTTTCTTCTCGTGCAGCATTCAATCATTTGTCATAACATTTGTTGAAATTGAGCAGGAGCAGGATCAGCAGTGAGGAATCTGAGGAAAGCTGTCTGTCGTACAGGGTCTTACTGGATCAGATAAATTGCAGGCGACGGGAAACGGATTTTGGAATGTCTAGCGCTGCCAATGCCTCGGCTTCCGCCTTTTGAGGCGAACGATGATGAGGTCGTCCCATCGTTTCGTGGGATTCGACGGACCGGCTGTCCCTTCTCCCTACTCTGTCAGCAAGACACAAATTAGAAAGTGTCAATTTCGTATGCTAACGAATGAGTCCGCATGAAAATCATATATTTAGTCTTTGAAGACCGAGTTCACTCATGGCCATTGCATCCAAAGCTGCATGTCTTGATGACCTGTCACCACTATCTCTCCTCAGAAGATTCTTCGGCTTATGAGTTAACCTGCTTTCAGTTCAATCGACAGCGGTAACGGTGTGGTGTTGCACAGCATCTCAGCAGAGAAAGCAGGAAAGTCTGTACTCTCGTGAAGGAGAAATGAGAATCCTACTTCCAATCTTCGTTGGTAATTGACATGGGTGTGGAAAAATGAAGTTTTGAGTAGCCCAATCGTTTCTCGCCTGTTGGATCGTGATAGTGAGTAAGGAAAGGAGGGTTCAGCAGGTCGAAGAGAAGCCTAAGGTGAATCAGAGCTCACACCTTGAAAGGTCGTATTTACTCCAAATACAGCTCTCGACCTCCATAATCTATGGCAGGGAAAACATGTCGATATATTATGAGATAACGAGTACACTCAGTACCTGTAAAATCTCATCCCTCGACATAAGGAGTGACTGACTAAAATCTCACTGTAGTCACTACTGTGAGATTTTAGACTACAGTGTAGTCTATAACTGATCTGTATTTAGTTAGCCTAGAGCATTTGAAAACCATATCCACTTATGAGGAGCCATCGACAAGTTTATACCTTGTCATCGATTTCATAAACACTTCTTTTGTTATACTTTCACACCGATAAGATGACTCCCATTCTACTATATACCGTTCTTTGCACGTATGCGCTCGACAATATCATGATTTGAGAAAGGTGTTCTCTTTCTCCTAGATCGATGGTTTTTCCACAGTATTGAAGATTCTTCTAGTGATTAGCATAATCGACAATTCCGCTTGTTATCTCTACCATCACTCGTGGTCACGGGTGATTCATTTCCGTTGTGTGAGAACTGGCTTGCGTGGCACATGCTTGGGGCCAGCAAGCGTTGAAGGTGGAAGCACTGCTACACTTTTCGAGCTACAAAACTAGCATCCCAATCATTTGGTCTTCACATGCCATAACTGGAATTTAAGCAAACCCTTCCGGCCCGTATCTGGCAGCTACTCGGGCAATTTCAGATTATCTAGTCCAACTCATCGCCGACAGGGTCATTCAAAGCCAACAGTGTACTTTGATGCCCTTCCTAAGGGTGAAAACAACCATGCAGAAATCGGTCATGTATCGTCTACACAACATAGAAATTTCTCTTCTGTAGTTCGGCCGATGAGTATAAATCGGACCTGTAGCCCGTGTCCTATCTGCAGTTGAGCGCTCAAAACATTGTACCTGTTCCAATGGCTACTGGAACCTCAAGCTACTGACAGCTCCCGTGCCTCATGCAGCGCTCTTCTCTGAAGTTGCTTTTGAGACCAATATCTGACGTGAGTAGACTTAATCTGATCAGCAAGCTCAACTGATGAGCGACAAGGTACCTCGATGAGGTCAGATCTTCAAAATGCTTAAGCTGATGCATTCGCACCCACAATGGAACTAATTGTCTTAACCGATGTTCAGTAGTGACAACAAATTGGCTTTACTCTCCCATGCTCAAGTCTGATTATCTTGTCAAATATCACAATGATGTAAAGGGTAGATTCGATGACCTATAGTTGGTCTCAAGGTAGACATACTGGATATGACTCTTCACATTAGAACCTCTTGCGACAATCATATGTATCTTTGAGCATGTTAAATTGATGACTATAAACGTGCACAACCTTGACAAATTAAGAATCCCACAGGGAGAAAAAGCATCCACCTTTCATACAGTAAGAGAAAAATCAATGCAAATGAAAAGCACCTAGCCCAGAATCATGAAGACTACTAGGTATCTGGCATAAAAATAATTTTAACTGCATCAAGAGGCTGGCACCAGTAGAGCCTGCCCTACAACAAGGTTACAGACGGATACTGGGTGAAGAAGGCGAGTACGGTCCATAAGATATTACGAGGACGACAAGAGAGGAAATCCGATTGAACAAAACCTTTGTTGTCAGTTCTCAAGCTCAGACTGAAAAAAGCCTATACTTGTAATTACCAAAAAACATCCTCCATGTCGCGTTATATAGAGTACTGTCTCCTCAATTGATTTCTTCCAACCCGAGGTCAAGTTATTGGTATAAACAATCGGGGAAATTGAGAAAAACTAGAAGGAATTCCCCTCAAATAATGGCAGAACTTTTCCTGGATGATGCGTGTAGCTACCACAGGTACCGTTACTTGTACTGGCTACCGTAGGTACTGTTAAAACCATTTTCTCCACAAAAGGAAATTCGTGGGGATTGTTAGGCATGAAGATGCCTCTCCCAATTAACTCTGACCAGTCGGAATTAGCTCAAATCTCTCGCCTCCCTTGCAAATGTGCATGGAAACCATTAGCTGCGCAAGCCTCGCTACATTTCTCTATAATAGTCATCGTTTGTATCTTGCGACTTCGCCGTCATTGGGAAACATGCCCATTAACCTTCCTGCTGAGCATTGGTAGGCAAACATGAAGCCTCCCATAAGTCCAATCAGTCCGGCTGTGTACATTGAGGGTCCCCGGATATGTACGCTCCCACCTGAACTAATAGCAGGTTGCGTCAGTAAGAAAATTTTCTCATAGAAAACGAAAGCTGTGAATATCCATAAACACAAAATATACTTACTAACATCAACCAATTTACTGCCATATGTGCACTATAGAACGCCTACTGATATAGCAAAACGAAATTTTGCAAATTTCTTATTTACAGATGCCACATCGACAACTTTCAAGGGGAGATTAAGACGCAATTACAAGGGAATTAAACTCGACACTTCCTGGCTGTTTTATAAAACGAGGGGATCCATTCTTGGAAAGGTGAAACAACACGGGTTTCTTATGCACAATAATGCCATGGAGTTTCTCGTCAAAATTCTTCGGTACTTGAAACTCACAATCAACCAACATATACATCTACAGACCTTCACTCAGCTCCCAAAACTGACTAGATGGCTTTCATGAGTACTAAAATTGACATAGCTGACTGAACTCAAGATGGCTGAACAATTTATGAGCATTCATGACCGTATCAACTGAAATCCAAACTAGATATGGCATAGGTTACAAAGTCCCTCGGTTCCATTCTTTTCTAACTCTGGCAGAACGATTCTCTCTGGTTAATGTGCTTCAGATTTTCTTTCCTACTTAGTCAATACAATCCCGTGTTCTTATTTGTATAAAGTAAAGCTGGAGACAAAATATTCAAAAGTGTGCGGAAAGTCAGATCTAACTAGTAATTTCGTACGTTTAGGGCATTCGAAAGCTTCAAAGAGCTTTCTCGAGACGACCCACCGGGTACTGAAACCTAAATTCATGACTTAATGTCTTCAGTGTGACCAGATTAAATGCGAAGACAGAACTGCCCTGATAAGGGTTTAAATGACATGCAATTCCACTAAAAGACAACTTTGCATGAGTTGTGCTGATAAAAAAGAGCTGAAGCAATCTGTTGCTGTGGGCTCAGGAGCAAGACATGCGGATTGGACTGACGAGAATACATGCTTCCGTTGCCTGAGACGTATCAACCCCAAGCCAAAATTTCACTAACGCACCACGCACGAAAGAGCTCAAGGACACTAATCAAGCAAGTAAAGCTCCATGCACGACAGATATGAGCACCAGAGCAGAGAGACGAAATGCTCCACACAGTGCTCATGCTCAACCTACTTTTGAATTCGAAAAGAGCGAATCATCAGAGTCGATCAAGCCGCACAACACCCTGCTGGGATGAATCTAGACCCGTCACCGAAAAGACCTCTACTCGATCCCAGAACACAGTAGCGAGAACCAGGCAATGAAAAGAAAATGCGACGAGAAACGCTCGGCTGGCAAACAAATTGACTGAGCGATGAACCAAGGGCCGAGGGCTTGCCTGCAAGGTATCCGACTGGAAGAGACCCGGCAGTGATGGCAGTGATCTTGAGATAGTCGGAGAAGTTGAAGTTGCCGACGGTGGTGCCAGCAGACGGGCTGCGATCGATCACAGGAAATTTGGGCTCATCCAAAAAGATCCCCATCCCTCACCCTCCTTGGCTTCCGTTCAAAAGATAACGCGGCAGCAGCAGCGCGGCCACACCGAGCTCTCCTCCTGCTCCTCCTCGATCTCCTGCCACTTCCTGTCTCGAGACGACCGTATTTGTGTTTTCTCTTCTCGCTGCTCCTCGCTCCGCCAGACCACCACCCACCCAACACAAGCAGCCGCCTGCTCTGCTCGCGTCGATGTTTCTCGGCTGAGGTTTCAGCTCTCTCTCGCTCGCCGACACAAAAGGGAAGCTGCCAGTGCCGATGCTCGTGCATGTGCACCCCTTCTTCCTTCCTCCTCCTCCTCCGTCTCTTTCTTCCCCTTTCCCCTTTCCCCTATTGCCCAGCCCTGCTTGCTTTGGCCACGGCCAAGGCCACTCCGGTCCCTTGGTCCCCTGGCCCCTTCAGCTCACGGAACTGGTGAACGACTGTGCCTCCAATACCTCCGTCTCTGTCTGCTCCACTTGATCAGCTGCTAAAATTAAGCCCAGCTGAACTAAATTTCATGTCACTTATCTCCTAATGCGACACCGAGCATCGAGCAAGCATACGAACAGTATTCGAGTCATTATATTCCACGTTTACTTCAGATACTCGTGGGCTAAAAGTATCTTTGGGTTTCGCTCCGAGTAGTAGATCTCATTCACTCCATTTACAGTCGCTCTGGGGATTTACCCTTCTCTTTCAGGAATCTTCCGGCTGCTGGAGTTTGCAGTCAAGTAGTTAGAGGAACATTTTGCAATTGGCTTGCTGCTGAGGACAAGAGTTGCGCTTGGGTTCTTTCCAATTTAAGTGTGCCCGGCGGAAAATGTGCCAAGAACTCTGGTGCACATTGCTCGCCTCACCTTCCCCAGTCGTCCGTCATTGTTGAGGATGTGGTAGCTTTCCGTAACCGATGACGTTTCTCTCAGTGCTGTGTGACGAGCCCGAGACATGGTCTTGACACGGTCCTACAAAGTAAGTGATGGCCTCTGGTCTTCGAGGTAGTGCCTCATGGCTTTGACAACACATATCACGTACACCACCGCCAGCATACGACAGCTCTGATCAGTGCTGCTAGGTGGCCGTCGTCCTAGTCCTCGATGTATCATCGAGAACCCTCGTCTTCAGTCGATTAATATCCAACGAGAACAGATGATAACTTTTTAGCTCGAGGATAGACTACAAAGATTCGATGGAGTGGCGGATTCAGGGAGATGTGAAAAAAGTAGGGGCATGCGAACCAAACGAGCAAATTGCGCACATTTGAACTACCAGTGTTTAGATTTCCCAAGAGAAATGTGTATCGACTCATTGAGCTCTTGAATGACTTTGCTCTGTTTCCTCTGTTCCTCTTAAATCATCCCCCCAACATAGAGGCATTGTAACGGTACATTCCGCCCCATAGTCCAGAACTTTGAATGCGTTCCGTAGGGAATCCCAATAGAAGGCAGAAGGAAAAGGCTTTTTGACACCGAGAAAAACGTGAGACCAAAGCCCCATGCTGCTATAGATAAACAAAGGTTTTGCAATGATCCTTAGATCCTTCTTAGAACCTGGAATGTCAGCAAATCATCGAGGTGTGAAGAGGAACTACTAACGGTGGAGGTCAAGCACAGAGCATTAACTAAGAGTCGTGAGATGTCAACAATGTTTAAGTTTGAAGTACCGACACACATGAGGAGGGTTAGAATGTCTAGTAAGGGAAGAGCTTACTTCCACTAACGTCCAACTATCAGCTACTTCGTTCGGTCTAAACGCTCAGGAAGACGTGAAGGGCTTGGGAGGTACAAAAACTTAAGTACTAGTAAACGCTGCAGTCTCAATGACAGTCCAATTTGGATAAAGAGTAAAGTGACTGGTACACAAAAATATAAACCACAAGGCCTCGTTCTGTGAGATCCTCTTTCGAATTAACATCATGCTATCCACTCTGAGAGGAACGGAATATCGACCTGTTTCTGAACCAAAACGTCCGTTTCCTATGTATTGTAACTAATAAAGATGGAAACCATGGAGAAGCTTCTTCCATACTATCGAAGTTGACTCTAAGCCTCATAAGAGACAGAGAACTGTGTGTAAGGAAATTTGTCCGCCCCCATGTGCTGGAAACAATGCCTCCACGAGATGACGTATAGGTGCAAAATTGAGTTACACTACAGATACAATTGAGATACTTTACATGAATCACTCTAAGAGATTCCTCAAATTTGAGGTGTTTGACCGTAGCCTAGCCCATCATCCAGCACTGCGTCCATATCTATGGATCTATCGCGGAGCAGGTCTTCATAGTACCTGGCAGTACCAATTTCGAGAATCCTTGATTCCACTTCCTCTAATGTCTGATCTATTGAAAGCTGCAGTTGCCCCTTCTTTATTACCGTGACTTTGTAACCTTCTGCTCCTGCATCTCTATAGAGCTCCTGCAAAAGTCAAAATTGCATGATTCATCAGTAACCAGCAGGATTAATAGAAAGCATAACTTGACAAGCCAACATAGAAGATAAGGTAAGCAGAAAACATAAGAGTACATCTATCAGATCTTTGTGCAAGACAAAGTCCCGCTTAGCGTGATAGTAAAGCATCTCATTGCGGTGATCGAGGTACGTGCCTTTGGATCAAACGGTACTACTTGTACTGCCTCTGCACCAAGCTTCTCCGATTCTTGTTCCAAGAGCCTGGAAAAATTGTGAGCATCTCCCCTATCTTGAAATGCCACCGTGTGAACCATACCGCTGGAGTTTCCAACACCTTCCATAGCAGGGCTCATATCTACAGAGTACAGACCACTTTGCATCTCACCCTCTATTCTTGATTGCAGCCCTAAACACTGTCCACAACAAGCAATTGTCAAAACTTGACCTACCACTCAAGCTAGAAAATTACAAAATCTGTAGCTCGTGAAGAACAAACAAGCCCAAGTAGTTAGAAGACTCCGACATCATATTTGGTCAGGAGAGAAGTACTTAGGAACTCATGATATTTTCCACAAACTTAGATATGCTCCTGGATCAACTGTACCGTTAATAGATCTTCTATGGAACACGAAACAAGAGAGTCGACAGTCGACAGGCAGACCTCCTTCAGTTTAGAGTCCACTCTGAGCTAACTACAAGGCTATTCGCAGGTTACAATCGCATTACCAGAACATATGGAAGATCAAACCACCAGAGCTCGGGTTCTTCTTGTTCCGGCTTGTACTCTCCGTACTTGTTCATCATCGCTTCCCGACCAAACAAATCTCTCTGTTCTTTGATCTTTGCCTTCGTCTTCTCATAGTGCATCCTCACATACTCCTGTTCACCTTCGACACCTTTCTCAAGTAGTCTGTTCGCCTCCTCAATCTCATCTTCGGTGATCCACCTGTCGAGGTCCTGACCAATTTCCCTCATTAGAGCTCTGGTTTCGGGGTCTTTTTCCAGTTCATATTTTCTCTGCAAATCTTGGGCCCACCGCTTGGTATTTTGCCAATTTTCAACTTGCTCCTCTTCATTCTCACCGTTGCTTGGGAGATTTGGAGTGAAGGCGGCAGGCCTGCCACTAGAAGTAACAGTGGTCTTAGCAGTACCTGACTTGGTCTCTTTAGCTTTACCTCGGCCTACGTTAGTTGTCGTGACATTTGATGGTGAAACTGATGGAGAAACTGGGGAACTGCTAGATTGCTTAGGTCGAACATCCTCATCCTCGTCGATGGACGGTGAGGACGTGTAATCCAACCCACTCTGTTTTTTCAAGATGCGCTTGCGATCTTCACTAAACTTCTTTGCCAAGTCAGATGTTTGACCAGAAGGATCAGCCCCCTCCTTCCACTTCGCGGTATACGATTCTGGAGGGTCCATTAGGCTGACGCCATCTGAGAGAGAACAAAACTATGTAAGATACAAACTCTCTAACTTTGATTAGCAGAGTAACTATGAGCATTTTGGATAATCTGAATGTCCGTTCAGACATGACAAATTAAAAGCCAGACGAAGCGCTTTTGACAGGAACAGCTATAAAAACTCTGCACTTTCCTTGCTTAACTACGAAGCAGCTTCTGCAGACTGATTCAGATCGTGTGCTCAGATATCTGTAATGGATCAATTGCACAGAGAATTCACCTGCTCCATAGTCGATATTCTCAACTCGGTCCTTGATCCAGGATTTCACACGGTCTCCTTCCCGCTCAAATTTTCTTTCTAATCCTTTGAAAAACCGTTTCTCCTGCTCAGAGTTCAGATTAAAAAAAGGTTCGCGGCCTGCTTCTTCATTAGCTTGAACCTTGAAAACAATGTCACGTAGCACTTCATCACTCATCCACTCTTGCTCCTCCTCTTCTTCTTTCGATGATTTGGGCTTCTTCTCTCCTCCCTTTCCGACTTTTCTCTCCTCTATCTTTGACTCAGGTACAGGCTGCTCAGAAGATCCTTCGGCAGATGTCTTTGATGACGCCCCATTTAACGAAGCCCCATTGTCTCTCTGCCCAGACTGCACAGCTGGTACAGGCTCTGCGTCCAAACGAGAAACCTGACCGTTCGTCGTGACTCTGTCTGAAATTCCACCAACATCAGAATTCAACTCCTCCTGGGAGGTCGCACTTGAAACATCCTGGGATAACTCGTTCGGTGAACCCCTCGAAGCTCCATTAAACGCGTCTTTTGCGATCCCTTTAGCAGCCTCTGCGGCAGCTTTCGCTCGTTTACTCTTGATCTTAGCCTTCATATTTTCACTGAAACCAGCTTTTCCAGTTGATGGCGATGCATCACCTGACTCCAATCTGGCCCTCTTTGCAGCAATACTCGCCCTAGCCTCCTTTGGAGACAAAATTATCCGGGGCTTCACGCCAACGGACGGCTGTGCCGGTGGTACTGCTTTTCCATTTGTGGGCATCGTCGATTCGGGCTTCTTAGGCATGCCATTGCCACTGGCTGAGTTGCTATCTGACTTGCTAGACTCTAATTTCTGCACTGTCGGAGGCTTCCCGTTCTGGGGTTTTGCTGCCACCTCAGAACCAAGATTCAGTGACTTTTCCTTGAAATCCATGTCGGGCGTGGACGTCAAGTCGCCATCCAGGGATCCAAGGCGGCGCACATCATCCAAGTTTTTGGCTAATGCTTCAAGCTCTTTAGCGCGATTCTTCTCCTGCATCTCTTCCTCCATCGAGCGCTGCCTTTGCGTTCTTTCCGAATTTTTCTCAAAGCGCAAATCGGCATTCCTCTCCTCCTGTAGCCGGGCCTCTCTAGCCATAGCTCGAATTTCTTCAACTTTCTTTTGGAACTCTCCATCCTCAAAGCTGGGTTTCAATCCAGGAGTTGGAGTAGGAGTTACGTCCACCACGGCATTTTTGGCTTCCACTTCTGGAGGTTCACGCTTGTTACCTGCTGCATCTCCACCTTTCTTTGGTGGATCCTGCTCTATGACCTCCGGATTTTCAATAACCTGCTTTTGATTCATTTTGGCCTTTAATTTCCTCATCTTCATCAGTCGCGCCTCTTGCTCGTCAACCACCGGATTCGGTACCTTCGGTTTCCTTCCAGTCCACCATTTATATGCAAAACCCCCCACCACAGTGAGGGCAAATACAGTGACAAAATTCATCTTCTGCAGAGGAGCCGGGAGGTAGTTCTGAGAAGTGTCCTTATCACCATCCCATCTGACGGACCCTACAGTTGTTTCCTGCCCCGCCTTTTGAAACTTGTAGAGAACGCTCAGCTCATTAGGCTCGTAACTCCCCTCGACGATCTTCCGAGCCAATGAATTGGCCTTCGCAATATTCCTTTCGACTACTTCTCTAGCTTCGTCGTCGGCAAACTGAGGAAACAGCGGGTCTACTCCACTCCTCAGCCAAATCTCGTCTTCATCCACATCCACCTTGTAGCGCTTACCTTGAGCATCTTCATATACTGTAAAGATGGGTTTCAATCCTATACCCCATTCATCTCTGTCAGCCTTGTAAACTTTGTGCTGCTCTTTAAGATTGTGCAAAAATTTCTTCCTCCTTGACTCCAAGGACTCCCTATATTGCTTGTGCTCCTCCTTTGACCTGATTTCTGCTTCTATTCTAGCATTCCTAGCCTCTACCTCATTGGGCACATCAATTATCTCCCTCACGTCCTCAACATCCTCCCTATTTTGGCCTTGTTCATCCGCGTCCCCCTCCTCTGAATCTTGTCCCCGACTGCTCGCCGACACAGCGACCACGACTCCTCGCCTCTGCCTCCCAAACCTCAATTTCCCATTCAATTTATGTCTATCGAATGCTGCAGAGCAGCCTGGAAGAGAAACAGACAGGCTACAAACGGGGCTCCGCAACAAATGCGCTCTTGTTCTTGACTCGAACTCCAAACTATGCTCATTAAACCCTTCGCCCGCGGCCTGGCCTGCTGGGGATGAATTCGAAATTCTGCACCGTCTTCTCTGCTTTCCTACTCCTAAGTGCCGAATATCAATTGGATTCCACACAAATCTCAACCTACAACTCGAACTGAATGGACTAAACACAATTGAATTCATGGCTTGCCACGACGGGCAGGTTCCGAGGGACCCTTCTGCTCCCCTACAATAAGAGGGAACCGTAAGAAAGCCAGGTGAAGTGGGCAGAACCACCATAGCCATGGTGCTTGCTTGCAGCGAGCGAGCCTCGCTCCCTGTCCGAGCAAGCACTAGAGGGGTTTAGCCCCAGATGGCCCGTCTCACTCAGCGCTCCCAAAACCCTCGAAACGCCGGCGGATCACAAGAGCACCCAATTTTCATCAGCGGTGACTCGGAACACGACGGGGAAACGATCACAGGCCTCGGGAGTTCGACACTCCTCGTTCTCGCATGCACGGGCACCGCGAGCGAGCAAGAACTTGAGGGCGACGGGGCGTGCGTGCGTGCATTCCAATGTGCAGATCCCGGCAGCACATTCGGCTGCACCTCTGAGCCGAGAGCGAGAGCGAGAGCAGTCGCTCGTCGTGGGCGGTGGCGCATGCGATTATCCGGTTCCGCCGCGATTTCCTACCATTCACTGCCGCCAATTGCCGGGCTAATTTCGCTGCCCGCTAACCTGAAGAAAGTACTTCGCCGACTCTTTCGGTTCAGTTTTCGACCGCTATCCGGTTCGAGCGCAATTGCCGATTGTGCTCCTCCTCCTCCTCGTCCTCCGTCTTCCTCGATTTCTCTCACTCTAGCTGCACATAAGTCCTGCCATGTGATGAACTGAGAAGGGGTGTTGCTTCCCGCGTTGTGACTGATTTGGAAAATGGTGGCACTTTTACGGGACTCGTAAGAAAGAAATGCGAGCTCCGTTGGATGCATGTTGGGGAAGGAATATCCAGACCCGTGTTAGAGTCCACGCTACGTACATCGAAAGGGTGGTACCCTCAAGAGTAAGACCCGGAGGAGCAAATACATGCTCGAAAGTCCAGGTCAAATCATACGCCGGAAGACAAGTAAATTGTAGTTGTACTTCTTCATCCAAAATTGTCATATCTATGTCTAATTCATATACAAAATGGAAAATTTGGATATTAAATATAATTCTTTTGGCTTTAATTATACTTTTAAAGAATAGACACAAGACAGACACTTTTAAAGCACATGTATATATGCTTCAAAGTACAAAACAACTTTCTTGTCTATTAATAATTATTGATTATTTAGTATCTAAAAAAAGTCGTGCAAATGATTTTTTAATCACATAGTGTATCACATATTTTTCTGAATTTCCTGAAAACAAATTACCTCATGGATATTGATCAATTAATTTCATTATCAAGAAAATTATGACAGATATATTTTTATATCTATGATTGATACCTTCAAAATGCTTGTTGTAATTTTTTTTCACATGAATTATGTAAAAAAAGGTTAAAAAAATGCATGAATAATCATTACAAGATCTGAAGATATTCACATAAAAAAATAGCAAATGCATTTACTTTTGTGAAAAGATACAATACATTTGATCAATGTAAAAGAAATTCTTGAATTTCATTCTATAATTAGAAATTGGCAAATTTTCACATGTGTTATCATATGTATATTTGAATAAAAATATTTATCATTGCAAATTTATTGAAAGATTTTTATTAATCCAAATTTACAAAAATTAATTCAAAATCTAGCTAATGAAACTTTCTAAAAATGGTAGTATGATTGTGATAGATTGGTATGTGTCATTAAATTATGTAGGGATCTGAATTTCCATAACCAACCGAAAATCATAATGCACATACACAAACTAACACAAGAAGCTTGAAAACCTAGTGGGACTAGGTTTTCAAGCTGTGAACTCCTCAATGAAGCCAGTTTGAGTATATATCCAAGATCAATGTAGTCAGACTTGAATTTTTTTGCCGTCATAACAAGATTTCGGTCCGGTTAGAAATACACACAAAGACAATCACTCTTATTTTCCGAGCAAGACTAGCACTTCTTCACAGATGATTCTTTCTCAATGAGTCTTCCAATTCTCACTCTCAAACTTTCTTGAAATACTCTCATTGTCATGTATACCTGAATCCATTGACTGACTTTATATCATCTTGACTTATAGCGATATCTTATAACGGTAAAATATCAAAATGAATCAAAGCCGTCAATTCCTATACAGTCCATAGGATATTGACTCATCAGCAAGCTATTACTATACAAAAAAAAACAACATAAATTGTAAAAAAATGACATATAATCAATTATATGTCATTTTTTAAGCTAATATCTCACAATTGCCACTTCAATCTTCAGTTTTGATCTTGGTCACTTGTACTTGAACTTGGTCCTCGTTCTTCACTGATTCATCGTTCAATTCTGCTCAGCCACGTTGCATCAACTCCAAAAAGCTTTAGACATAATCAAAACTTCCCAAGAGTTACCACTTTTGTGCCACTGTCTGCCATGTTGTCATCAGTGCTGATTTTTGGAATGTTGATGTCGCCATCAGTGATCTTGTCTCTGAAGAAATGGTATTTGATGTCAACGTGCTTTGTTCTGTCGTGGAACATTAGATTCTTGCACAAATGGATTGCACTCTAGCTATAGGAGAAAAGTGTTGTTGTACCTTGGAACACATGTGACTCCTTTAGCACGACTTGAATTCATATGTCTCCCTTCATTGCCTCAATGTCAGCAATATACTTTGACTCTGATGCGGAATAAGTCACAACAGGTTGTAACTATGACTTTCACCTCACACAATTGTCGTTGATCAAGAATTTATAAGTTGTAGTAAGTTCTACGGTCTTTATCCCCTTCAGAGTAAAATTCTATATCATCCACCAAAACTGAACTAACTCTCTTGCAGAACACCAAATCCACATCAGTAGTTAGTAGTGTCTTTCAAGTACCTAAGGAGATGATTCATAGCCAGCCAGTGTTCCTTACTTGGCTGGCAATGAATAGCATATAGATTTGAAATCTATTTACTAAAAACACTAATGGCATGGGCAATACCAAGTCTTGAACACACCATAGTGTACATGACTAAGTCAACTGCACTTGAATATGAAACATTTTCCATAATTTGCTTTGCTGATGCTGACATATGGCATTGATTTGCAAAAAGGCTGAAATGATTCGCCAAAGGTTGAATCACTAGCTTTGCATTTCTCATGGCAATTTTGTCAACTAGCTTCTCCAAATAGTCACGTTGTGACGATGTCAATGAATCATTTTTCATGTCTCTGATGATGTTGATTTCAAGGACTCTCGTAGAATCACCAAAATCTTTCATATCAAACTCTTTGCTCAAAATCTTCTTGAGTTTTGATATCTTTAAAGTTGAGGCGCTGATTAGTAACATATCGTCTACATCTAAGAGGAGATAAATGCTCCTCAGTACTTCATTTCCTTTGAAATACAAGCATGCGTCATAGTAACTACTATTATATTCTTGCTCAAGCATAAAGTGTCAAAAGCTTGTACCATTGACGTGATGACTGCTTCAAATCATACAACAATTTTTTTAGTAAACACATCATGTCCTCACTTTTATGCACTTCATTTCTTCATCTTTATGCACTTCATATCCTGGTGGCTGCTTCATATAAATCACTTCTTCCAAGTTACCATGAAGAAATGATGTTTTCATGTCCATTTGCTATAATTACAAATTATACTGGACCACAAGCGCAAGCATAATCCTTATGATCTTGTGTTTTACCACAAGTGAGAATATTTCATTATACTTGAGTCCCTCAATCTGTGTGAATCAATACTTTTGCCACTAGCATGGCCTTGAACCGAGGCTTGTCAGAATTGATCACGTCTTCTTTGATCTTGTAAAGCCATCGACACGTCATTGGCTTTTGATTTTTAGGTCTTGGAACTATGATCCAAGTTTTGTTCTTATTCAACAACTTCATTTCATCTCTCATGGTTTCCTTACATTTTTTCTGAGTCTGATCCAACAATTGCATCTTGATAGTAGAGTATTTCCTTCCTCTGAATCTCCAAGGTTGATGTGAACGTGGAGATAAGGATCTTAGAGTATGCGAAGAAGCCATATCTTTGTGGAGGCCTTGATACTCTCTTTTGTCTGTTCCTAGTCAGAAAGTAGTCATGTTGTTGTTCAGATTGCTCTGATTTGCTGTGACTTGTCAGGCTTGTACACAGGTTGTCCTTGAGGTTCTTCACAAATTTGAATGAATGTATTCAAGGATTTGTGTAAACGTGTGCTTTTCGGTTCGGAGCATTTGCTTGTGTTGCTTTGCCAAAATGCAATGCTCGCAGAAATCAAGTTTGCTGACTTTGTACTTTCCTAGCAAATTCTGGTTTCTCATCAGTTCTAGATACTTCTCACTAATATGGCCAAGCCTTTGATGCCAAAGTGTAGCTTTGCTATCGTTTCAGGTAGTGGCAACTGACGCAACTTCATAAAGAGTCTCTTTGATGAGATAATAGAGACCGGCTATCTTGATACCCTTCAAAACAATAGCATCTTTTGCAATATACGCCTTGCTCTATCTTGTTAGTATAACCCAAGTCATCAAGAATGCCAATAGAGATAAGATTCCAAGACAATTCAAGTATCCATTTGACATTTTTAACTATCTTAATGCTATCAGATCATATAACAGCAACAGTACAAGAATGATTGTTATTCATTATTAACTTAGCTTCATTGAGTTCTTGGTAGTCCAACAACCAATGCTTATTGTGTATCATATGATAGGTGCAATCAGAGTCAAGGATCCAGTTCGAGGCCTTGAACTTTTTTGATGTCATGAAAACTTTGCCTTCGTTGTAGCCATTACCAAAGTTGGTTGAATCTTGGTGACTTTGTGATGAGCTAAACTTGATGCTCCTTGTTCTTACTAATCCATGAGTAACAATCTTTCATGATATGACCCATCTTGTTGCAATAGAAGCACTTCTTGTCAACGTTGGAGTTGATACTTCGATTGTTGATCTTTGTAGATGTTTTGCCGTGGTTCTTGGGCTTTGAGTTGCTTTCATCTATGTTCTTGCACTCCTATTTGCCACGAGCAATGTAATTTTTGTCATCCTTAGAGATCTTCTTGTCTGCTCTAATTTTCAAGTCTTTGAATTTGAGCGTGAATATCACTTTATTTAGTATGATTGATGATCTCTCGTACTTGATTGTTAATTTCACCTGCCTATATGCCTCTAGAAGAAAATTGAGATTAATGATTAGGGTATTCTCGTTGCTAAGCTCTTCCTTGTGGATGGAATTTGCGAGTTCAATCGTGATCTTCAAGAACTTGTCCAAGTTGGCTTCCAATGACTTTGCCTAATTCATCTTGAATCCAAAGAGACTCTTCTCCATGTAGATGTTGTTGTAGAGAGAGCGAGATTGAAACATCTCCTCAAGCTTCTTCCACATCTTTGTTGATGTGTTTTTCTTGTGAATTAGGCGGGCAATCGAATCAAACAGGTGAAAATTACTGTAATCATAGCAATTTCAAATTTTTCTTCTCTTTGATCTTGGGGAATGTCTTCAAGCCATTGTTGCTACTTTTTGACTCGTCGGTGCGCCTAATGAGGCAACTCGATGCTTCCAAATCCGACGGGATGAATTCAGCCGTGGAAGACAGATGCGACGAAGTTGTGAAATCAAGATCGATGATATGATGCTCTAATATCACTGTAGGAATCTACATTCCCATAACCAATAGATTATCACAGCCCACACACACAAACACAAGAATTTGTTGACGAAGTTCAGTTCATAAGCCTAGCTCCCATGAACGACTCAATGAAGGTAGTTCGAGTATCAATTCAAGATCAATGTCGTCGAACTTGACTTTTTAGCCGTCGTCATAATATTTTAGTCCGGTGAGAAATACACACAAAGACAATCACTTCTATTTTCCAAGCAAGACTAACATTCCATCACATATGATTATCTCTCTCAATGTGTCTTCCAATTTTCATTCTCAACCTTTCTGGAAATTCTCTCACTATCATATATCTCTTAATCCATTGATTGACTTTATATCATTCGGATTTATAACGATATCTTATAACGATAAAATATCAAAATGAATCAAAGCCGTCAATTCCTTTACAGCCCATAGTATATTGATTCATCAGCAAGCTATTGCTAAACAATAAAAAATGACATAAATTCTAAAAGAAAAACGACATGTACTCGAAGCTAATATCTCACAAGTTATAATTTGAAATTTTTACAAATTTAAAGTTTGACTATGAATAAAAAATGTTAAATTATCATAAAATTTTGACATGAGTTGAACTAATGAAATATTATAAATAATTGTTTATTTAAATTATGAATTTATTAAACAAATTATATCATATTTGATAATAATTATGCAAAAAAAATTAAAAACGGTATGTTCACATGAGAAGTAGAAATGTGACGTTATCATTCAAAAGTGTAGAATCCAATTCATACTAAATTACAGTAACATGAAAGTACAAAAAAACTTAATATAATTTGCCACTCGAATACGTTCACGATAACACGAATCATTATCAATGTTCAAAGTATCAAGCTAGTTCTCGCCGCTCTTAATGTACTAAAATATCATCATATTTGACTATGTCATAACTTGCTATTCCACATTTAGAAACCGCCATTTCATTGTGTAGAACAATTGAGCTTCTCACTACTGTTGTTAAAGTAAATATTCTTCTTTTCACTCATTTTTCTCTTTTATACTATCGTTCATCACATTACATTTGTCTCATGTGTGCAATGGCAAGTATCGGTCTTGGAGAGTAGTTTCAATTACTTCATTTACAAAAGCAAGATGATGACTATGTACTCTGTCAATCGATGATCGACTTGTATTACTCTCATTCTATTTTTGTTGACGATGTCACTACTCTTGTCAAGTTATTTTGTAGCATTTGTCTAGCATGTACATTAACATTCACATTGAATTTTCACAAATTGCTCTATCATTGCAATGTTTGTCATCTTTTGCATTTTTGAGTTATAGACTAAATGTAAGTTCTAAGTTTTCTTTCAAGTCTTTTCATCACTTCAATTAAAATTTGAGTGAAATAAATACTCATTTCAAATCAAAATTTGAATAGATTTTTCTTTTGAGTACATACGGAGCAAGTATCATTTGCTCATCGCAATTGAAGATTTTAAACAAGCTTTAAAAACCTAGTTCAAAGTCTACAAATCTAAAAATTTAGATTTGTATAGACAAATCTTTTGCAATTGTACAAACCGTACTTAAATTGAGCTTTGTAAATGACAACAAACAGTAGCAGCAATCATCATCAGAATGCTTACTCTTCGCATACAATTTGTTTTTCTAGTCAACTCCTTATGCAACTCATTCATTTCATTGTTGCTTTTTTGAAGAAAAAATTTCCAACATTGAAGTCAAAATACTTTCAAAATTAAAATTTTTCTTGAAAAAAATTTCATGACATGTTGTATGTTATCTTCTCCACCCTCTTAATTGCATGATCGTCCAAACTTGACTTTATCTTATTGTAATTTTAATACGCTCCGTCAATCTAAGATCACTATTGATCTATATAATGAATTTCAAATTTTTTTGAATCCAAATGTTATCTTATAAGACGTTTTGATGAAATGTGTTGAAAAAAAACATCAATGTATCAAAAAAATATCCAAATTGTGATGAATTTTGTTTCAATTTTGATATTTTGCTCTCTAAGAAATTTTTGTATCAAAATTCAAATTCAAAGTCAAGACAAGCAAATTGGCGATATTATTAGCAATCGTTCTTGTTTGGCGTGTTTGAATATATGTTGTTCATGTTGTTGTTGTAACAATCTTTAGTTAGTTAGTTAGATTAAAAGTAGATTTTACTCATGATGGAGATATAGTCACATTATATTGATCTATTTATATTTTTCATGTCAACAATCCGTGTATTTGATAATTAAAGATCAAGTGTGTTAGTTAACAACGACACGTGAACAATTTGTTATCATGTAATTGGTAGGTGATGATTTAGTTTGCTAGTTAGTATGTTAATTCGTGTGCTAGTTATTTTTTTAAATTAGAAGCAACACGTAAACAATCTGTGTGTTCATTATGTAAATATGTCATGTCATCAATCCAGTGAAATTAGATTGGATGGTGTGGAAGAGAATTTATCTTTGTGTATGTGTTTGAAAGATTAATATAAGGAAAAGTAGAACCAATCTAGTTATCTCTCATGTTCAAATTTTATGTTTCATCTTTGAATGAGATTCTTTCCCAAACTCAAATGTTACATATGCACGTCGCGCTAATAGTGGTCATTTTTCATGCAAATTTTTGCAAGCATGCGACGTCAAGATTATTTTAAAGCAACTTGTTTGCTATCAAGACTTTATCAATTGAAACTCCACTCTTCATTGCTCTTATTTTGCAATTGAGATTGAAAAATTGATTGATGATAGAAGCACATATCATACACAATATGCCAACAAAAAAAATGTCATTCAACTTTCAAATGTGAATGACAATAACAAGAACAAAATCTCTTGCCAAGAAACAATTGAAGACTTTTTGTGTCAAGAAATCAAATCAAATCAAATGTGTTGATAAAAATTGAGTATATATACTTGTGTTGACAATGATGAAAAAATGTTTAGAGTGCAACTTTTGCACTTTCAATATCAAATATTAACAATAAAGCATCAACAATACATTCAAATTTCTTTAAGACCATGCAAGAAAATTTGTTAGTTGAGACAATCAATGAGTTGACACGAGCACCAAACACAAATTGGATTATATAAAACGCTCTTCTATCAATTACTAAACCAAAAACACAAAAACAAGGGATTTCATCCAAAAAGTAACTTCTACTAGAACACACTAACTTTTACTATCAATATTCAAGGGGGAAAGCTAGATGTAGTTGTACTTGATAGACATAGCTAAAATCTTAAATGACAACGGACATGAGTTACAAACTAACAAAAAGATCAGACAAGGATATGTTTTACTTTAATCTAGTGTAAATAGTATTTTTTATTGAATTTTTTTTAAAAAATATGAACATATGATTTTAAGTAAACTAATATAAAAAAATTCCCTTAGTATTCATAATAATAGTAAAATATGGTTTTCATCTATACGTTGTGTGAATCTTCTCATACATTTACAATGCAAACATGCAAAAAAAAAAAACTTTGATTGTGCAATCAACAAGATTAAAATAGTCAATGAAAGTTTATGTGAAAAGTTTACTTATTAATTTGAGTAGGTTTATTTCAAAAAAATCAAGTGATTCTTGGGCTTGCAAAAAGTATTAATAATGTATCACATCCAAATTTGACTTAATAATTTGAGAATGTTAATTTAAAGACTACTTACAAATTTTTGATGTAGTTTTTTTTACATATATCATATTCAGAACATTCCACTTAGATAAAGATTGCATTGTACATTATCAAAATTGAAGTAAATGATTCATCATGTGTAAAAAAAATATTATATCTTTCCAGTATTTATTTTTTTGTATAAATGTTGAATAATGATATATAAGTGTTATTTTTACTATGATAAAACATGATGGAAGTTTTACAAAACCACTTTTACAAAGAAAATCATATAGTCAGATTGATTTTTTGTTTCTTTCACCCAAATTGGAAAAACATATTGTTATTGATTTTTCTCACAAAAGAAAGAAATGGAAATATCATTCAATCTACTTAGTAACGTATTGTGTTTCCATTTTTTCCAATCTCTATAATTTGTTACTTATAAACAGTTTTTGGTAACTCTTTATGGTAAATAAAAAAATTTGATTCGACGCTCAATTTTCTTTGTTTTGTATTTTTTTCATGAAATACACATTTGAGCAGAAATTATTCAAATAAAGAACATACAATAATCAAGTGTAAATGTGAAAACGGATCTATTTGTAGGTGCATTTGCGATTCTATGATGAGAACTAAGATGTTAAAGTAACTGTATACCCACATAGGAATCGATCAATAAAACATTTGATACATTCATGCGAAGTAGCTCTAGATGTACTGCTCAAGTGAACCAATCCAGTCGAGAAATACAGCATTGCAGTGTATGTGCTCATTGAGATAAAGTCTCTTACTTTTGCAGTTTCGTAGAGAACATGAGTTTGTTGACACTTGCTGTTGCTTTGGGCTGCAATCAACGATAGCCAGTGCGGTTCAATGATCCATTGCTGGGTGTCCATGCTGCGAGGGAATGTGGTCGTCAGTTGTATGGTTCAGGCGCTGACACCCAAGACAGACACATTGCTTGAGCAATTAGAAGATCCGGGAGCAAGAGTCAGGAAACCTCTGAGCTCATGGAGTGGACGTAGTACTTTGGATCGTCTGATCCTGAGTGCATGAGTTGTCACTCGCTGAGGAAGCGGAGGCACGCCATTTGGAAACTGGAACAGGAAGGGCGATGACGACCTGCTCCGTGATAGATCCTAGTATTTGGATCGAGGGGTCTGTATGAGGAAACGAGAATCATGTTCGTTCGAACGCATTGGGCATTTGAATCGAGGTGGGCCTTTATCATCTACTGAACGCTCACACGCTACTGAGCGCAATCGTGCGGTAAATATAGATCCAATTCGCCTGATTTCTTTCTCTCTCCCTGTGCGTTCATCTGCTCTGGAACAAAATCTTCGAGAGGGAACTGCGAATATATATCTTCGTGCTCCCATGCAGTCGAGTCTCAATGATGAATCCAGCGATTACAGGATGTGTCAAGAATTCAACGCTGATTCATTTGATGTTTGCTGAGGTTTTGAGGTTTTTGGGAGGTTGAATTGAGTTAGGCGATCGTGGGCTAAACAAATTGTGCTTGCTGGGCCAGGGTGAACTAGCTCGCCGCAAGCAAGCTCCATGGCCTTGGTTCTGCCCATCTCTTCCGGCCTTCTTACGGTTCCATTCAATGGACGAGGAGAGTTCATTGCAACCTGCTGTTCTTCCGGCCTTCTTACGGTTCCATTCAATGGACGAGGAGAGTTCATTGCAACCTGCTCTTCTAGACGAGCCGTGAACCTCTCAGCTTCTACTTCATGTAGTTCGACATTGAGGTCAGAATTTCTGCACAGTTCAATACAAGTGAGGAAATTCGTAGTGAGAAAGCACACAGAACGATGCACAGTTTCAAACTCGCTCGCTGGAGAGCGGCAAGGAACTTCAGGTTTCCGTGAATTGAAAATGGACTCTGGACTCTCCGAAGCTGGTCGAGAGTCTTCACCTTTGCCTGAGGGAGCGACCCCTCAAGATGCAGAGTACATGAGGATGGCAGTGGAGCTTGCTCGGAAAGCAGTTGGGCACACTTCACCCAATCCGATGGTGGGTTGTGTAATTGTCAAGGATGGCCAGATTGTAGGTCGCGGCTTCCATCCCAAAGCTGGAGAACCACATGCCGAGGTGCTTATCTCTCACATTGTGTGTCGATTGATTCTGATGTTATCAAGACAAGTCCCGGCCTGATGAATTTCGAAGATGCAGGGGCAGCAACTTTGGCTAGTGTGAAAGCTCGGATAATTGAACTCCAGTCAAACGCGAATACCATGAGCAACTTGATCTTTCTCAACTTGTCAACAAATATCTCAAACAAGCCAAGACGTTTCCGCAGACAGTTTTAGAGGTTACACACGCAGGAAGATTTGAGATTGAAATTTCGGTCTGATTATGGAGATGTGTCTTTGTTATTGGAACGATGCACCATAATTTACGTGCCGGCAATTGCTGTCATTTTGTAGGTCTTCGCTCTGAGGGAGGCTGGGAAAGCCGCTCAAGGAGCAACGGCGTATGTCAGTCTAGAGCCATGTAATCATACTGGACGTACGCCGCCATGTAGTCAGGCTTTAGTTCGTGCACGAGTTGGTCGAGTGGTGGTGGGCACGGTGGATCCCAACCCGTTGGTAGGTGGGAAGGGCGTGCAAACTCTGCAGAAGGCAGGCATCAAGGTTGTGGTTGGAGTTGAGGAGGCCCTTTGTCAGGCCACTGCCGAAGCCTTTTTCCATAGGATTGTCACCAAGAAACCATTTGTAAGTTTGAGGTACGTCATCCAAATGCACAACTCACCCCATCAGGTCTAAGGAATCATGAAACAGCAGTCATCGGTCGTTAATACATAAACTTGGGAAGTGGAAATGAAAACTTCGAATTGCGTGGTGAACATGCGTGATCGTGCATCTTGATCTGTGCAAGATACTTTTTCTGTAGCACTGCTGTAAGTTGAAGTTCACAGAGGAGAAGACACTGCCCTTCCTTGTGAGCTTCTCAGCACTAGTCTCACATGCAGGTACACTATTTCAATGGATGGAGCAGTTCTGCGCAGTCAAGGCACGACATCAGCAGAGGCAGGAAGTAATTACAGCATTTTGCTTCAAGAAAACGATGCGGTCATCGTAACAGACAAGTGCATACTCGGGAATCCAAAATTGCTGTCTTCTGAAGCGGGAGCAAAGCAACCTCTTAGAGTAGTCGTAGCAAAGTCTTTAGCACTGCCTTTAGATTCTCACGTCTTCGATACCTCCTCGGCCCCTACCCTTGTTATCACAGATGCTAATGCAATCTCAACAGACCTGCAATCCAACAGCAGGCAGAGTGCGGAGTCGATGGAGTCCCTTCTCAGATCAAGGGGTGTCGATGTAGTGGCCATGAACGAGGTGAATTTGGATGCTGTGCTGGACTTGCTCTATCAAAAGGGATTGAACTCCGTTCTTCTGGATTCCACTCTCTGTAACATAGAGAATTACTTGGGCCCATTAGCTCTCTCTGAGCAGGGCCCTCAAAAGGTGGTGGCAGTCATTTCACCAGTTCTTGTAGGAAATAGAACAGATGGACCTGGGTTTCAATTTGAAGACGACAACTTGAAGCTGGAACGTGTCACTACGAAGACATGTGGGGGAGTTGTGATCGTGGAAGGCTATGTGTCAAAGCGGCCTGTTACATAGAAGGCAGTTTTCACAATGTCTACAATGTTTCCATATATGTATCTGGCCCAAGTAAGAGCTTCACTTAGTACGCTTTGGAAAGTCAATAAGGATCTTGTTAGAAATATCTTGTAAATGTGGGATCATGAATCCTTATATTGAATTGTCAATAAAAAGGTGAGTTGACACATTTCCATTTCAATTGAATTGGATTTGTTCAGAGTGTATTAATTACCAGCAAGTCACCTTTATTATTATTATCTGCACTAGGTAGTATATTTTTAGTCTTATATCGTGTCACAATCTCTATTTTCAGATGAGGAGTGTTGACATGGGTGATGCTACTTCCAAGCTTATGGAAACCATCCACACTCATAACTTGCACGCAAGGACATTAGAGCCGCAATTGGAAATGATGAATTGTTGTTTCAGTTTCTTTTCTACCTCAGCTCATTAAATTTTTTTTACTCTCCCTTATCATTAAGAGATATTACTTCATTCCAGTAACCTTAGAGAGGTTTGTAACGATGCAAAAGCATAAGTGAACTAAACTCACAAAATATTTTTTTTTGAAAATTTCAAAATAAAAATAAAACTTGAATTAATTTATGAAAGAAATTTTGTTACAACATGAAGCATTTACTTGTAATCACGAGGGTTGATGTTGATGTACACAAGGATCAACATAAGACATTGTGATACAATGCTAGACCAGTATACTAACTCTTAGTGTGACCGTATAACTTAGGGTACACAAGGCTCTACGCTTGTGGTACAATGTGATTTATTTGTTGATAACTCAGTAAAGTTTAATCTACAGCCAAACACTCGGCAAGAACAAAATTATCCAGCAGCGAAGATGATCACCTCCATCACATGTATTTTTATGAAATATGAGAGATATGCTTGACATAAGCTTTAATTACTCTCTTTGTCCATCATTTGGTCTAGAGCTCTACAATCTATGTCGTTAGGATCAACAGTTTTAGCAAGATATTTCCTTTCTCTCGGTGAAATGTTTTATATCCTCTACTACAAATTTGTTATCGACTTCGATGCAATAGTCTATATGATTACTTAAAAGATAGAGGACAGGTATCTATGGTGTTCGGCACGGCACAAGAGAATTAAAACCTCAATTGAATAGACAATTGATATTTTTGCATCTGATTGGGTCAGGACAGAGTTGTTGTCGAAATTTATAGAAGCTATAAATACTAAAATTTTCGTAGTCTTGGTGAGAGTGATTTCCCAAGCAAATGCGAAGAATGAGATATCAACAACCAAGATCCCAAATACGAGGATACGTAGAGAATTCATCTCTTATAGACTATTTTGATAAGTTTGTGAGATTCTGTTCTACTAATTAACACAAGGTATCATTTCCTCTACCAAAATGTGTAGATTATTTACTCGGGGTATCCATTCTTTCACTGATAGGATTGGCCTTGCAATCTATATGAGAAGGATCCACTAGTTGCAATAGAACATAACTCAAAGTGATGCTATTTGGGGCGAGGCAGATCCGACTACGCGCTTGGTTGCCTCCCAATTAAGACTCGAGAGTCGGAATTCCCTTCGTTTTCCGACACGACTGGGTTCAAATCGAACCCTTCAAACCTTCGAAGGGAATGCGATTTGATTCAGTCTTCTGTCACCAACCTGCGACCCGACAGCGCTGCGCAATTCGATTGCGCAGGAGGAAGAGCGACAATGTCCTACAACGATTACGGTAGAGATTATGGAGGAGGAGGTAGAGGAGGAGGAGGAGGTGGAGGTGGTAGCCGGATGAATGAGGATGTGGGGGCTTATGAGCCCGACTACGATGACAGACCGGAGTTTCGAGATGGGTTCCGAGACCTTGCACCGCCTGAGCCGGGGCAGGATTTGGGCAGTTATGTGCCCGATGTTGTCAAAACTTTCGTGGTTTACTTGTACAGGCATATCAGAGAGAAAAATGTTTACGAGATTCATCAGATGTACGAGGGGTCGTTCCAGAAGCTCAGCGAGCGTATGTTCCAGAAAACGCCCTGGCCTGCTGTTGAGCTCATTGCCCCTTATGTGGAGAACGACCATGTTTTCTGTCTTCTGTATAAGGAGATGTGGTTCCGTCACGCCTATGCCCTCCTCAGCCCTAGTTTGGAGCAGAGGTGTGATTCTTGGGATAATTACTGCAATCTCTTCCAGGTTATCCTCCACGGCAATGTGAACATGCAGCTACCTAATCAATGGTTGTGGGATATGGTTGACGAGTTCATCTACCAATTCCAGTCTTTTTGTCAGTACCGTGCCAAGCTCAAGTCCAGGGGTGATCATGAGCTCGCTCTTTTGCGTCAGTGCGATGAGGTATCGGTCGAGACTCTTTTCTCGATAAATGTCGTCTTTTCCTAGTACACGTCCGTGGTATATTACAAGGTACTTTATCCTCGTCAGCATGACAGTCATCTACGTCATTCTTAAATGTTAAGTGCTGAGCTGGGCGATAATCTAGGAGTCAATAGCTTGATTCAGATGACTTCCAGTTGTCCGAGAGCATCTGAAGGCGTTGTTTGTGATTTCGTTCACGTTTTGGGTCTGTGAGCCCCCTCCGTGATTGTCACCATATTCCTCTCAGTTCAGCTATTCCACTTACGACGTTTACTGTAAACGCTGAGGTGCTTCAAGAGGCATGGTTGCTCAGTTTTTCTGTTTACCATGAACTGCTAGCTAAACACCCGTTTTAGCTACCTGTGAGATTGGGCGAGCTTATTAATTGTTCCGTTCTGTGATGCGCAACAAGCATTTATTTCCTGTTTTTTTTCAGATGTTTTACTTTCAAGAAGAATTGAGATGATACGTCGAAGATGGATATGACCTCCTCTTTTATGAAACACAGCACAGCACGTTCGACACGATGACGAGAATTCTGAGCCCAGGCCTTCTCTTATGTAGGTTTGGAATGTTTACGGTGTTCTCAATTACCTTCAAGCCTTGATCGACAAGTCCATGATAATCGAAATACTTGAAGAGGAAAAGGACGGCACGGTTACATTTACAGCCACAGATGGATATGACTACCAGGGAGGGACGAATGTTCTGAAGGTGCTGGGTTATTTCAGTATTGTCGGACTTCTCAGGGTTCATTGTTTGCTTGGTGATTATCATAGCGGTTTGAAGGCTTTGGTAGCTATTGATATAAATGCCCCAGGGGTTTACAGCACTGTCATCAGTTGCCACATCACAATGATTTATCACTTCGGGTTCGCGAACTTGATGTTAAGAAGGTAAATCCAATGTCCTTGACTGAAAGTTATGCCGACTCTTCGGAAGTAGTTTGCACAGAAACCCAGAGAAATCTGGTACTCCATACCTTCAGGTTGAAAAGTCTTATATGCGTCAAAACTTCTGATGTAGAGCAGAAGCTGTCACCAGCGACGAAAGTGTTCTGATCTTCGTAACGGAAATCGCGTTGCTGAATAGTTGGGAGATGTGTACGTGTGTAACATCGAAACAAGTAATTTACTGAGTCGAGAAGATATGTGGAGCATGTTCTTTTCTCTAGGAAGACTTTATGCCCCAAAAGACTTTGCTTGTCGACTTGTCCATTTGACTTTCACCCGACACTGCTTGATGATCAACTGACTAGGATCGTCAGTGGTAGTCTGTGACGGGCAGTGACTAACGAAGACAAGGTGACATGCGACAGGTATGTGGATGGAATCAGGGCATTTAACCAGGTTCTCCTGTACATTATTAAGACCAAGCAGTATCATCAACGTTCCCCTCAATATGACCAGATTCATAAAAAAAATGAGCAGATGTATGCTCTTCTTGCCATTTGCTTGTCTCTGTGCCCACATGGCAAGCTGATTGAAGAGAACGTGAACAACCAGCTCCGTGAAAAATATGCTGATAAGATGCTGCGGATGCAGAGGAGTGATGAAGCTGTGTTTGATGAACTTTTTTCGTATGCTTGCCCCAAGTTCATCACCCCTTCTCCGCCCAACTATGACGAACCTCTTGTAAATTACAACCAGGTATAACTACGAGGACCATTGTCATTCTGCTTCTCGTTCCGACCTGTTTTTCTTCTGGAGGACCTCTCGCTTATTTTAATTTCCCAACTCTGTCGTACTCTGTTGCGTCGATAGATAGTATCGAAAGGTCGATAGTTCATTCCCCTCCTCTAGCTTATTTTTCAGTTGCATTGGTTTAAATCATCACATTTTTCTTCTTATTCGATTATCTCCTTTAACGCTATTTACAGGTAAGTCGCCTCCTATGTCCTAGATATTTTTTTTAAGGGAGTTCACTTGCTGTTAGAGGCCTTTTTGAAGGGTATAAGCATAGGAATCGAATTTACTTTTAAATTATGTAGTCGAAAGATTACCTGGTGAGTTTGAGAGTGTGCTGTGTGTAGTTCAATTTCCCTCTGTTATCAAGAGTCCCTTCATAGATCGTTACCATCTTTAGGCTGCCATAATTTACAAATGAGTAACGGGATGTATATCTTGCTTGATCTTTTCCGTCAGTCTCTTTCGAAATGTTGTGTCCTTGACGCAAGTCGGTGCTATCGGTTGATAAGGACGTATCATATTTCGCAGGACGCCTACAGACTTCAACTCAAGTTGTTCTTGTCTGAGGTTCGCCAACAACAGTTACTTTCAAGCATACGTAGTTTCTTGAAGCTGTATACGACTATATCAATTGGAAAGCTTGCATCTTTTATGGACATCGATGAGCCGACCGTCAGGTGAGCTATATAAAGATGGCATTGCGAACACATGATCGTTTAGGCATGAGTTAGCGGTTGGGTTCTTTCGGCTCTTGGTTCCTTGAAGCTAATGCTTAAATGTATTCCTCAAAAGCTCAAATCTTCGACAGAAGGGATTCTTCTATCTCTACGCCTCTGCTTACGTATAGACAGATGAGCGCCTTTTGTAGAGCTTTGATGTGTTCACTTTGAATAGCTAATGAGAAGGTCCTCAAAATCTGCTCTTTTGTGTACAGGATGGCGCTTTTTACGTACAAGCATAAGACGCATGTCATCGACACTGACGGCACCGTGTTGTCTAATGCTGATGTAGAGTTTTACATCGACGATGTATGTATCCAAATTTCTCGTTTAATGGCACTTTGATCTTGTTCGTAATTTTATTCAATACACACTCCTACTATAACCGTTGGCGAGTATGCTGCTGAGTGCGTGTGATCGTCAAATTTAATCCAATATGACCCTGATTTGCCCTCTTGTCAGGACATGGTTCACATTGCTGATACCAAAGTGACCAAGCGTTTTGGAGATCACTTTATTCGTCATATCATGAGGGTAAGTTTCCTATCTTCACTATGCCATGTTACAGTTATTGGGGTTTTAGGGTTTCTCACGCAGGGTTGGGAAGGTACTGCCAGGGACGCTTTTCCGTACGGTTTGAGCCAGTTTTGGAAGACGGGTGCGATCATTGAAATGTCCCGCAGCATGACTCGATTGTCTATCTGTCTGGTCTGTCGTGCAGTTCGAAGATATCATCTCGGAACTGGAGAAAGTGCAATTAGAGTAAAAGATAGTAGGTCTAGGATGAGATGTAAAGAGTTCCGACTAAGTGGTGCAACGGTTGTTGCTCTTCAGTTTCACAATGTGCTCTGATCGACCTCCCTTAGGTATGTAATTATGCACCTCTCTGATTGAATACTGTAGCTAGGTTTGAAGGTGAGTAGAACAGATATCAAGATTTATCCTCTTCCAAAGCTAGGTTGATCTCAGTTTCGGCTTGTTCTCCATAACACTAGTTATGGTCATCGCCTGGATACTTTATATCAACACTGAGCCGGGGAAGCTAGGTGTACATGTAGAAAGGAGGTGATCCATATATTTATACGACCTTACAGACAGCGAAGCAATCAGTGTAATGACTTTTTAACGGAGTCATCTCAGTGAGGAAGGATCAGATACGTGGTAGTTTCGATGAGGAGGTCTTGGTGTGCACGGCTTCTGAGCGGTATTTGAAGACGAGGCTCTTCAAGGATTTTTTACAATATGTTCGGCAATCTACATATTTGTCAAGCTTTTTGGTCGAAGGTCGCGCTATCTTTGTGTATGATGCATGTCTTTGCACTTGTTGTGTTTGGCGCTTTGAGTGGATTCATTTAATTCCGTTCAGTATGTTGAATATTGTCTGAGCACGGACTTATCTTTAATCATCAATGATTGTTTAGATTTTGAGCCTCACATGCATGGGGCCCAAGAATTATGTCATATTTGCAATCCGCAGCTCACAGCAGGTCTTCAGCCTATCTGCACACATTCTAACGGGCCACATAGTTTTTGCGTTCTTATTCAGCACATGTACTGGATGCTGCAAATTTACAATGGACTTGCATCTAGTCCATGTAGAATGCGAACTTTTCTTCAAGGTTCATATACGAATCTATTGTGGTCTCTAAGAAATACCTGAAGTAAACTACGTAAAGGTCAGGGTGTTAATTTTAATACAGTAGCGAGTGTCTTTGACATATAAATGACTGTTTATTACTCGTGGAGTTCTTCAAGATAACAGTAAAACTTGTCTTCTTTCGTTCCCGAACCTTTTGATCGCATGTTTTAGGAAATACTCAACACATACGTGACTGCTAGGCCAAAAGCTCCTTGAGTGAAGACAGTTCAATGTCAAAGATGCCGTCTGTTGATCAGGATGTTAATCTAATTATTGAATTCATCAAAGAAATTTCATCAGTCAAAGCTCAGGAAGCATACAACAGTTGTATGGAAATCTTGAATGTTCATATTGCTAAGTACTCACACATTTTGAAGATAGTATCATCACATCTGTCGTCAGATTCTTGAACTTTGTAAATTTTTATCTCGTAACTTTCTTAACCATTTCATCGAGGACATGAAACGTAGAAATTATTACGAAATTGGAGGGATTCTGGCGATATGATCCGTTGAAATAGCTTGAGTTAAATTTTTTTATGACTTTACGATTACAATATTTACTTCAATTTGTTTGCTTGATAATACAGAAAGTCAACTAATGGGAGGCATCAGTAAGGTAGGTGTGTTGCTTAATAGCAATATGGAATCGAAGAGAAATATGTAGTATATAGTGAGTTGAGTACATAAATATAAATCAAAGACTACTACACGAATTTCAACTATTTCAGACTTGAATCCTCGTCATGGATTGTAAAACTATCAATGTTTGACTTGAAAATTATTAATCTCGGTGTTCAAAGTAAACGTTCATGATATGACATGAAACTCCATGTTTTACTCAACAATATAGGAACTTTAGCGTCTTCGTTTATAAATCAATTGTAAATTTGAAGCGAATAAGTTTCCAACAAATATCAAAAGTTAAATATCTGAAAACGCGGATGTTCGAAACTTTTCAATACCCGAGTCTAACAATTTCAAACAAGAATTTTCTCCTTTCATTACAGTACACCGGGAAATGTCTCAATCTTGAAACAATTCCATAAAAGCTCCGAACGTGCCGTACGGATATTAATTCAATTTCTCGAAGCATTCAGAAAATTATCGAAACATACTGATCTGATCAAGTAAATGTCAAACCGGTTTGTGATGTTAGACATCACAACGGTAGAATTGTATTAGTACATCGAGCATCTATCAGAAGTTCCAAGTTTGGGACAAGGTTATTGTTTATTACTGGTTCCTCATGGAATGAAAAAGCCCTCTAGATCACTTCTTGGGAGATGGTGAAAAAAAACTCAGGAACTTAACCCACGTGTGACTAAATTATGAATATTTTCGGGGAAAAAAAAGACCAAAAAAATCTGCATGATTTGGGATCAATGTTTTGGGGGTTCAAGATTAAGGTTTTCATTATATGAGGCTACTTCTGAACAAAACCAAAAGGGAGTAGAAAAATTAGTTCTACTACCTAATAATGAACTCAAGATGGTTGAATGATTCAGATTTCAAGATACTAGCACGCTTCTAACAGCAAAAGAAGAAAAATAACTAACTGCGTCAGGCTATGACAAAATAGGAATATCTGAAAATTCCGTGTCATCGACCACATCTCAGCGGCACGGAGAATATACCTCAAGAGTTCCCCTCTGGAGCTCAAGAAAATGGAAATTGTGCCCAACCCTCGAATTTCCTTCGACCCACTTTACCTCACGGTCTGCCCTCAACCTCGACTGCCATAGACTGCAACCCCTCGTCATATATATAATACAAGCGATTATCCAGCAATCGAAGAAGGACGGCGATGGTGAAATTTCATAGTTAGACCTCGATGGATAATCAGGATATCTATCGACCCATGGTGATAATATGTGGGCTGAAGATCGGTTTGCAGCAGAGGAATTCGCAGCCCAAGGTGCGGTCGAGAGAATCGATCTCCGAGCGATTCTCTCGTATGATTCTAGCAGCAGCACGACTAGCGAGCGGCAAGAGCTACTGCTCGAATAACTCATCTTCAGAACTGTAATCAGTCGGGGATTCTAAATCGTCGGGGCAATTCGGAGGGCCCCGGCAGGCTCCCTCGTTGAGCATGGGGAGGAGATCGCGAGGCGTGAAGGGGGAAATGTCTTCAGCGTGGTAGTGAAATTGACCGAATCCCTGCCCATTGTCCCTGGCATCGATGATGCCGGGCATGAAGAAATAGAGTAAGGGGTGAGGGTTCGAGGGACGGGGACAGCCAAAGACAGCGTCGTCATAGATCATCGTCCAAACGCGAATCAAACGCGGGCACTCTCTGAGGCGATTTTGGTACTTGGTGAGGTCGTTCATCAGCTCTGCGAGGAGAAGATCTGCCCATGGAAAGACAGCGCCTCTCTCGAACGCCTCCACTGCCATGGGGAAGTGCCTAAGAGGGAATTTGTCGGGGTATCCTGGCCACCCGAAGGTGTAGGCCAGCTTTGAGAGGAACAGGAAAAATTCGAGGTTAAAACACGATTCGATCACGATGAATTCTGCGCCTCGTGGAGAGAACCAGAGGATGGGGACGGCGAAATAGCGTTTCATGGTGGTGCACAGCCAAGCGTTATCTGTGTGCTCGGGTGCTCGTTCTATGACATTTCCATGGGTCTCCCTCGACGGCAGACCCGGGAACAGGCGCTGCAGGTCCGTCACATCGTAGAATAAGATCGGAGCATAATTGTCAGAACTGTAATCGCGGAATCTATGGTCCCGCGAGAGAAGACATGGGGAACAAAGGATCTCCGAGCCATCGTCAGCGATCGTATATTCGTAGAGGAGAGATTCGAGAAATGAGTCGTTCTCTTGCGGGTGATCAAACTTCAGCAAAGAGTACAATCCCGCAGCATGCATAAATTCGGTGTTTTCCGGATTCGCCCAGAAATCGAACAATGAAGGTTGTTGGTAAATGATCGGGCAATTCGCATGATGCACGTGGTCCGGTCTTAATCCCCAATCTTCGTTCAGCATCCGCTGCAGAGCTGTCGGCCCTGCTAGACTCGTCATTGTGAATTCTTAATTTAAGTCGTCGGGGCACCGATTGGTACGAGGAAGAGGAGGAGGAGGAGCCAGCGATTGAGTTCGTGCATGCCCCTCAAGAAGCTCAAAATCTCCGATTACCACCTTACTCCTACGCGGCGGCTCTAAACGGGCTCATCTCGATCAGGATCAGATGAAAATGTTAGTTCGATTACATCTGCGGACTCATCAATGTGATCCATCTGACACTCTTAGCGCCTGTGGGTGACATGTTATTGCCTCATCTGAATTCAGTGCAGGGGCTAACTACTTGTACCGTGGCTATAGGATGTGGAGTAGTCCGCCTTGCATTCATCTCTTTGTTGGAGTGGACGGCGCTGGCGGTCGCCGACGAGCACAGCAGGAGAAGGACGTGTTTCTTATGGATAGTGCCCTCGAGGATACGTACATTTCGAGGAACTGGATGAAATCGAACGAAACGACGCAGCGTTTTGAATGTGGCTATATAATGTTTTAGTTGGAGTTCTTCATTTTCTGTTTCTTCATGGAGAGCGCGAAGTCGTAATTCTTGCTTCGGAGTGAGGCCGCAGGAAACAGAGATCAGAGCTTAATCTTCTCAGCTCCACTGCGAGTTGCACATCCTTGACATTCTATTTAATGGCTGGTTCCAAATGTCTAGATCGTCATTGTAGCACTTCAATTTGATCTGAGCTGTACAGCAGTGATCGAGTAGTGCTGATTGGCTCAGACGACGTAATGATTGAACGCACAATGATTTCTCTCTGTTTGCAGTGTCAGAACTCATGTATTACCGACCTCCGGCTAGACTTCAACGACCTGTCTTTCCGTTTTCTTAATTCCATGATTTTCACCGGCTGTACACCAAGATCCGCTCTCCATGTGCAGAGACCGAGAAGCTACGTGAAGCATACACTACCCAACAGCCTGATGCTGAAATCCTGCTCTCAGTCCAAAGCTGCAAAAATTGTATTACCGCTCTTCGTAGTGCACAAATGACTTCAAAGGAAGCCTCGACGTAAGAATCGAATCGAATGTGCGTCACCCGGAAAAAGAGAGCGGAACAATTGCATGCTTCGTGTGTACGAGGACCAAATCGTGTGTATGAGGATCAGAACATAGTGTTGGTCTTTGTCAGTATCTTCCCTGATTGTACTATTTTACAGTTGACAATACTACGTACAAATCAGAGAGTATCTTTTGCATGCGACTTGTTTCGTGTATAGTCCAACTCTCGTGTCAATGCGTTCTAAGTTCAGGCTTAAATATTTCGGTGCACCTTGACAGTCTGATCTGGATCAGACTGTCAATGTGTCAGCATATATCAGCTGATTGTATAACAGTACAGATTTTGCTAACATTGATCAGATTCAGGGATGCAATTCACGGGTTTCATAAAGCACGCTAGGGCGATTGATGTCCAATACAGACTCCTGACCATGGATGATTTCATTAGGGAGCTGAGCATTGATTCAACTAATGCAAGCTACAGCGTATGACAAATCCATGGAGTGAGTTTTCTGAGAACTGAGAGTGGATGACGGCAACGTTAAAATACAAGTAGACATGCGTGACTTCTAGTCCAGATCTGAGTCTCCGTCGAATTATCAGTACGTGACTGGGGCTTTTTTCTCAGAACCACAACCTTTTCACGTTTGGGTTTCGCTCTTGCTGACTTCAGAAGTCGCTTCTCCTCTAATGCTTTTGGCTTCTACATCACCGTCTGCTATTTTCAAGTCAAGACGGAAGGTAGAAGCGAGAGTTAGCAGCGGCTGGCTTCATAATCTCAGAAGCCTAATTTATAGCTGAGAACTAGTTGCACAGTGAATCTGCGGCAGCTCTGTTGGACCAGTTTGGAGATTATGATCTCGGATGCTGCATCCAAACAAGACCCCTGGGTTCCCACAGCTGGCTCCCGGTTAGTAGGGACAATGCCATGTCTTTAACAACATAAGCACACTGTGGTGACAAATTCCTCTCCAACCGAACACTTCACACGAACATTGCTCCATATCCTAAGCCATAGTGTATCCATAATAATACATCCGCCATCGCTAAAACGTCCTCTCCTCCTACCCTTCCGCCTGTTTGCTCTCCCGGGTTTGGCCGGCATCCAGATCCCCAACAGTGGTTGATTATGCTCTCTCTACGATTCGGAAGGTTTGGACATCTTGTTCGGACTCTCTCCCAGCCTTTTCCTCCTGCTGCTGCCTCCTCCTCGAGCCTCCAGCCCCCAGTGACTCATCTTCTAGCGCACCTCCATCATCCCAACCATTCCTAATCTCGAAGAGACCTCCATCCTGGCCGATATATAACTCTCGGGAGGTTCAGAGGTTCCTGTACTTTGTATGTCCACACAGCTGATTCTGTACAGATGTAAAGAACTAATCTAGCTGTCCACCATATACTGCTTGAGAATGGTTCGGTTCCCATAATTGACGGCAGTATGATTTGGTCATGCATACATTCACAAATCGTATTCTCTAGGTTCCAATTATATGCCTTACAGCTTACTTACAACTGAATTTTCATTCCACTTGAAAACAATAATCATCAGAAATTGCTCTCAGAATGCTTCATCATAGTCTTCGATTTGTATGTACTTAGGTCTCAGCTGTAGCCTCAAACATCTTGACAATTCCTGTGATTCATCAGCCATCATAGACGGTCAATTCCCTGAAGGAGTGTTACAGAACAAATGCAAATTCGAGTGCAAGGTGGGACGAAGCTGCAAAATCTTGATCACAATTACAGGAAAGATAGACTGCTTGGTCGATTGTACAATATGATGTCCCTTAAACGCATAGTTTCTAGTGAAGATTCTTTAGAGAGATGTGAAAGCTAGGACTCTTGCCACTCTTGAAGTTTCATACACCTGATGATGACCGATTATTTTCTGTCATGATTAGGGATAGGAAGAGGATGTTAGAATTCTCCTACCCACGTGATGTCCATGCTCGTGATCAGCCGGAGGCAATCAATAATGGTGAACCTGATCATGGGAGTTTTGGGGACCAGGGCGGGCTTGGGTAGAGCAGGGATGGTAGGTCTGTGAAGATAAATTCTCGCCATTCAATTGATCTCGGCAGTTCCTCTCGGTCCTGCCGCGAGAGCTCCCTTGGTAGTGAAGGTTTGATTGGACTTTCTGAAACCAGAGACACCATGATGTCGTAAGTTTGATGTTTTCGAGAAAGTGCGGTGGCAGCGATATCCGATCCAAAAGTCCATAAATATCACGGAGAGGCTGCACCACTTTTATACCTCTTGGTCTGATCAGTCATCGTGTGTTCTGCAGATCTCTGGTCATTTTCGCGCAGTTTGTCAGGACAAAGTGAAGGCTGTGTCAGGACCCATGTGACTGAAGACCTGCTAGTACTCAAGCACGTTGGCAATGGCTTGTGGTACCTGTAATACGTTCATATGTGTTTTCATGCTCTTCACTGATACTTCATCAGTGAAAGATTGTTCATCGTGCAACAACAGAGGAATCAGGGATATGTGTGGAAGTTCAAGATGACCACCCCAACGTGTCAAGTGAAGGGATTTCATCATGTTGAGACTTGCAACAAGACAATTCTACACTCTACCCTAAAAGAGTCATTTCAGAGTTTAACCGAGCCCTGATCTTCTTCAGAAACATAACTATGCGATTGACATGATGGCAAAGATTATAAAAGACTAAGGTAAGGAATATTTTGCAGAGTTGTATATTGCATGAGGATCTAAACATATGCTTGTCATTTGCATAATGACATTCTAACCTCTTCAAATTCCTAATCTGTCAAAATGCCTGAAGCAAGACCTTTATTCATGCACTCCTCGCACACCCATGCATGCCCACCTAATTCTGGTCTCACGTAATTCACCTGATACAACTTGAATTTTGCTGAATAGTTAACATGCTCAAGAGTTTGCTGAATCCTCAGCCATGCTTCTTTCAGCTCCTTGCTTTCCCCGACTTTTACAACTGCAACACGATCACGATCGCTAACATCTAATTGAACAATATCAGATTTTAAATCTGCCAAATCCGGTATAGCTTGGCCCAACCCGACGGTCTTCTCCAGTCCAGCCTTTGCAGCATAATACAAGACCTTGTATGAAATTTCAATAGTTTTCCTAATCCACCTGCGATTCTCTTGATTCAATTGTAACATCAAACCTTCTTGATCTTTTACAGTGTGATACCCAGTCACAGACTCACACATCAAGTGTAAGCGAACGATTGTCCCAACATGTAGAAATGCACTTACCCTGCATAAAATGCCAACATCGTCTGTAACATAAGGTCTCTTGGGAGCTCTCGGCTGCTGAAGAGATGAAGAATACTGAATGATGGTGTCCACTTTGGACATGAAGGCACTTAACGTTGATTGCAGTTCTTGTTGCAAGGAGATAATCTGTCCCACCTTCTTTTCCAATCTCTCCACAATGCTCACCACTGATTTCAACCCCTCATCCACACCATCAAACCTTTGTACTAGGTCTTCTCTTAGCTGATGTATCGTGGACAAAACAAGTCGGGTTGAACGATTCCCTACACTTGTGCTCGCCCGACTTAACATCCTGGATGAACGTCGATTGGAGGGCTGAGTCTGAACCAAGTCATTGTTCACACTTTTTATTCCTTGCTGCAATGACTCCACTTGTTGGATAAGGCCTTGCTGCAATGACTCCAATTGTTGCATTCGCTTCTGTCGAGTCTCATTCACAACCGCTTCCACATCGCTATCCCACAGCAACTCCCTAGCTCTTTCGAATATAACCTGTGTTGTGTGATCTCTAATCAAGGGCCAAGAATGCTCATAGTTGAACAACTCATCTTCCTTCTCCAAGAGCGATTTCTCCAAAGGAATATCCTCAAGTTTGTCATTGATATTACGAATGAATTTTGATTTCAGATCCTCGATTAGAATTGCTCCTCTCAGTTGACTCGGAATCAGCATCTTCACGCAAATCGTTTGGATCACACCAAGCACTAACGCCACCCCTGGACAGCCTTTGGGTGATGCGCAAAATGATATCAACTCCTGGACAATATGCTTCATCGCGTATTTCAGAGCCCCCTCCCTTGATTTATGCTTCGAGTATAACATCAAAACATCCACAAAATTGTGGGACTTATCTTGTTCGACGTAGATCTCGTGCCCATCATGAAAAAGTCTCAGATAATGTCGAGAGCATGTCATAGTCTCCGACATCAACTTGCGTCTCATGAACATCTGCAAAAAATCAAAATTTGGTAAATATTAAGCTGCGCATTCCAAAACTGAATTCAACTAATGAAAAGGTAACATTCTATTCATTTTACACAAGTTACAATCTGAACTTGACGCATTCATTCTCTCTGTATGTATGAAATCACCTGGAAGCATGGGAAAAAAGCAGCGCTCAATGACATTGTTCTTTCATCTTGGCATTGAATCCGGATGCCTACGAACTTTGAGGTCTCAACTCTAGTTTCCCAAGCCTTCAACTCCACGTGCGCCCCTTCTTGATACTTCTGTTCTTCCAAGCTTGCATGCTCAGGTATGAAGGAGGGAATGAAATACTGAGAAGTATTTTCGAGCTTGAAACACAAATCCAAATTGATAAGGATATCTTCAATCAACTCTCTGTTCACAACTTGCTCTCCACGTGGTTGCTTTCCCAAAAACTTCTGTATCAAGTCAGCAAAGACTCTCTCATCCACAAATCCGTCCCTGCTTGTGTGCAAGTCATGGCGAGAAGTCCGGTACTCTTTAGCTTGAAAGTCTTGACCCAAAGCTACCAGCTCACCCAATAATGTATTGGTAAGCCAGTTAGGATCCACAATGATGTAATGAACGTTGGGAATGGAAACTATGGCTCCAATGTCATTCAAACAGGATATGATCGATTTCATTATCCTTGAATGATCAAGGGCGAGAGTAGAAGAGAATGAAGATAATTGCTTCAAGCAGAAGTCATCAAATGTTTGGGAAGGCCAAACAGGGCAACTTCTATTCTCCTTAGTATTTGTAACCAAGAGGGAAGAGAGATGAGAACACAATAGGGGAATCTGTGGGGATTTTTCACTCAACAACTTCTTGAATGTCTCAAGAATGTGATTTTTGAGAGGAAAAACTTGCTTCACCTTCCGAGCATCCACGTGAAAACACTCTAGAATAGGGTGCAGATCTACAAATTTTGAAAATCTGTCCGCAAGTTCTTTCACTGTGGGGTGAGCCCAAGTCAAAGAAGTGGACTTGAGTTTATCCTTGTGTGAAATCACAACAAGAACTTGTGGACGATTATGTCCCGTAACCCTAGTGCTAGATGAGATGAAACTCAACCATTCTCTCAACTCTGAATGTAAACAAGAGTCTGGTTTCTCCAAAGATTTTTTATCACAGAAGGGGCTATACACAAATATAAAAACACAAAAATTGCTAGTTTGAGGAAATAGCACACTTTGAAGGGTACGAAAAATTCCTTGTCCCGCAAGATCCCAAATAGAAATTTGGAGTTGGTCATTATTTTGCAAGAGCTCCACTTCAATGCCTTTGGTTCTCAACTTCAATGCTTCCCATTTGTTGCGGAGCCGACTTTTGCCTATCTTCATCAGGGTTTGACGTAACTGAGTCTTGCCTATAGATTGAATACACATAACCACAACGAATATCACTTGTTACTTAAGAAATTTTTACAGATTACATCATATCATAACTTTAATATATTGCGCAGATACACAAGAGTGGAGAGAAATCCGAAATACACATTCATTTTTGAGTTCATTACTATGTTACTTTTCTGTTTTATTTTATCACACAAATCCAAATACATGTAGATACAAAAATAAACTTCATACTTTAATCTTAAATTTTAAAAGTAAAACCTTAGATTGCTTGCTCAAAAGCCTGGTAACTTACACAGCGCCTTACCTGCTCCAGGAGAGCCGCATAAGAAGAGTCGACCAGCTCTTGCATCTCCAAATGCTAATTTGGTTTCTCTGAAAACGGACATGTACACTGCCCGCCTCTCGTTCTGCTTTAGGGCCTCTACAATCTGCGCCGCCTTCCCGTCCATTGCCCATGAGGTTTCTCTCACATCTATTTCCTGGAGAGATAAGTTGACTTGCAGGAGCCCCATGAGTTCCCTGAATGCCTCTTCGTTCAACGCCAGTTTGTCAACATGGGCACCCAAAGTTAAATGAGTGAGACTTGTGTTCCCACGCAAGAACAAAAACAGGTGCTTCCACCATATTCCATTCAGAGTATCTTCTCCCGGATACAATTCTAGACTCTCCAGGACTGAAGAATCGCCACTTTTTCGATTTATCGGGAAGATACTTTCCAGTCTCTCTTGGAAGTTATCTGTACCTGAAATGGAAAACGTTGTCCAAGAAAGACGGAAAGATTTTACAGATTTGATTTCCCCGCGCAGAACCTTTCCTAAAATGTTGAGCTCGGAAAGGTTTTCGAATTCACCATTGAGTGAAACCTCCATGATTGGGTCCTTGTCATGAGAACTAGCAGCACGCGCAATCTCTTCTAATCCTTCCAGGGGACCTCCAGGGCCACTAACGACATAAAAAATATTTGACACTTGAATAGTTTTTACAGTGGTATTGACCCGTATGGCTTGTCCTACCGCACGCCATTCCTCGGGAGGCATGTCGATATTGTACAACTTCACCTCCTTCAATTTCACCTCCTTGTAAATGAGAAGATCTCTCAGAGAATGTCCGAGTACAGGCATGTGCATCATCTGGAGATGTTCAATAGACCGGTTGCCATCATCCGAGGCAAATACCTCCCGCAACAAGTCCGATGCTCCGCTATTCGCGTTCACAAATTTCAATGTTTTTATAGACGAGCTCAGGTTTATAGCTTGGGACAGGGTTCGAACGACCTCCTCGTCCATGTCGCACATGTGGCCATTAGTGCCGCCTAAACTCAGCATTTCTAATCGAGTAGCACTGTTGATCATGTCAGTGACATGCTCCAACGCACTCGAGTCCTCCCACGCAGCGTTATGTAAGTCTAAAGACTTGAGCTTACATTCAGACTTTCCCCGCATTCCTGATGCGAGATTCAAATAACATATTGCACTCAATTTGCAACTGATAATTGCCAAATTTGCTACGCTAGAGGTATTCAGAATTGTCCCCAGCTTCAGACACAAGCTCTCCACTTCCTCAACTGAATTCCACGTCAAGTCTCGGAGTGATAAGACTCGTAGAACGGTGCTACTCCTGAATCCACTCAAAACTTCATCCCATTCGCTATCTGTCAACCTCGATATATGTCCGCCACAAAGGTAGTGTATTTCCAGATACTCAAGGGTGTTGCAGTTGCCGATTGCCTTCAGCACTGCGTGGCGCACATGGCTTCGCCACCATGTGTCCGTCGAGCGCGATCCATACCCTCCGAAATCGGGAAGCCGCGTTATAGGCTCGCCTTTTCCTTCCAGACGCCAAATAAGGTCCACGATGGCGGAGGGAAACCTCGTATCCTCGTCTGCGGAATCCATTCCCCGTGTCGCAAGCTCAGCAGCGTCACTTACGATAAGGTCCTGGATGGCGGAGGGAAGCTGCGGTTCCTCGTCTGCGGAGTCCATTCCCCGTGTCTCAAGTTACTTTTCTGTTTTATTTTATCACACAAATCCAAATACATGTAGATACAAAAATAAACTTCATACTTTAATCTTAAATTTTAAAAGTAAAACCTTAGATTGCTTGCTCAAAAGCCTGGTAACTTACACAGCGCCTTACCTGCTCCAGGAGAGCCGCATAAGAAGAGTCGACCAGCTCTTGCAAATGCTAATTTGGCTTCTCTGTAAACGGACATGTACACTGCCCGCCTCTCGTTCTGCTTTAGGGCCTTTACAATCTGCGCCGCCTTCCCGTCCATTGCCCATGAGGTTTCTCTCACATCTATTTTCCGGAGAGATAAGTTGACTTGCAGGAGCCCCATGAGTTCCCTGAATGCCTCTTCGTTCAACGCCAGTTTGTCAACATGGGCACCCAAAGTTAAATGAGTGAGACTTGTGTTCCCACGCAAGAACAAAAACAGGTGCTTCCACCATATTCCATTCAGAGTATCTTCTCCCAGATACAATTCTAGACTCTCCAGGACTGAAGCATCGCCACTTTTTCGATTTATCGGGAAGATACTTTTCAGTCTCTCTTGGAAGTTATCTGTACCTGAAATGGAAAACTTTCCCCAAGAAAGACGGAAAGATTTTACAGATTTGATTTCCCCGCGCAGAACCTTTCCTAAAATGTTGAGCTCTGAAAGGTTTTCGAATTCACCATTGAGTGTAACCTCCATGATTGGGTCCTTGTCATGAGAGCTAGCAGCACGCGCAATCTCTTCTAATCCTTCCAGGGGACCTCCAGGGCCACTAACGACATATAACATATTTGACACTTCAACAGTTTTTACAGTGGTATTGACCCGTATGGCTTGTCCTACCGCACGCCATTCCTCGGGAAACATGTCGATATTGTACAACTTCACCTCCTTCAATTTCACCTCCTTGTAAATGAGAAGATCTCTCAGAGAATGTCCGCGTACAGGCATGTGCATCATCTGGAGATGTTCAATAGACCGGTTGCCATCATCCGAGGCAAATACCTCCCGCAACAAGTCCGATGCTCCGCTATTCGCGCACACTAATTTCAATGTTTTTATAGACGAGCTCAGGTTTATAGCTTGGGACAGGGTTCGAACGACCTCCTCGTCCATGTCGCACATGTGGCCATTAGTGCCGCCTAAACTCAGCATTTCTAATCGAGTAGCACTGTTGATCATGTCAGTGACATGCTCCAACGCACTCGAGTCCTCCCACGCAGCGTTATGTAAGTCTAAAGACTTGAGCTTACATTCAGACTTTCCCCGCATTCCTGATGCGAGATTCAAATAACATATTGCACTCAATTTGCAACTGATAATTGCCAAATTTGCTACGCTAGAGGTATTCAGAATTGTCCCCAGCTTCAGACACAAGCTCTCCACTTCCTCAACTGAATTCCACGTCAAGTCTCGGAGTGATAAGACTCGTAGAACGGTGCTACTCCTGAATCCACTCAAAACTTCATCCCATTCGCTATCTGTCAACCTCGATATATGTCCGCCACAAAGGTAGTGTATTTCCAGATACTCAAGGGTGTTGCAGTTGCCGATTGCCTTCAGCACTGCGTGGCGCACATGGCTTCGCCACCATGTGTCCGTCGAGAGCGATCCATGCCGTCCGAAATCGGGAAGCCGCGTTATAGGCTCGCCTTTTCCTTCCAGACGCCAAATAAGGTCCTGGATGGCGGAGGGAAGCTGCGGTTCCTCGTCTGCGGAATCCATTCCCCGTGTCGCAAGTTCGGCAGCGTCACTTGCGATGGACGAACCTGCCCCTTCCACTCTCTCCTCCCTTCTTGCACAGACAGAAACGTTTGGTGCTTGGCATGCGCGGTCGCAATGTAACCTCGACTACAGGAGGCCCTCTCCTCGATCCGCAAGCCCGGGTCTCCCGAAGAAAACTGATATTCCCGTCGCAGTGTCAAGTGTGCAAGTGCGTGCTGGGCACGAGACTTCTTGCAATCTGCAAGAGTAGAGACACAAAGATTACTCCCAGCTTTGCACAGATGCGGATGAAGAGCAATCAATACGAACGCAGGTGCAAATTGGAAGCAAGAGGCTACTCGAACCCAGTGCAGTGTACGACAATCGATGTGAATCTAAATGTGAATCAAAACGTGTTGCAAGTTGAGCAGCGTCACTGACGATGTACGCACCTGCACCTTTCACGTTTGGTGCTTGGCATGCGCGGTCGCAATGTAACCTGGCTTACAGGAAGCCCTCTCTTCGATCCGCAACCCCGGCTCTCCCGAAGAAAACTGATATTCCCGTCGCAGTGTCAAGTGTGCAAGTGTGCAAGTGCGTGTCGGGCATGAGACTTCGTGCAATCTGCAAGAGTAGTGAGACAAATATTACTCCAAGCTATGCACGGAATCGAATCAAGAGCAATCACTACGATCTTGCTTCCGATTGTGCGAATCGGAAGCAAGAGACTGCTGGAAATCAGTGCAAACAAGCGATCAGAATGAAAATGAACCTACAGAAAACCAGGATTCCAGTTAAAAGCAAACTTGAATACCGTGTGGCAAAGGGTACTTCGCGCCTCTCGGAACGCAAACTCGAACGGAAGGAGGCGTTATATGTGACCGAACAACTGATAGCTCTGCTGCAGGTGAATCTGAAATCCAAAACAACAATCGCCAAGATGTGGAATGCAGAATTTCATGGAATGCATGATCGTGCAGATGTTTCAGATGAGAAGTACCCTGAGCTGTGTATCAACAGGATGTAAAGTTGGAATGGGATACTGCGAATCTAGCTGTATCAAGACCCACGGGAAGACAGACCCTACCATCGATGGGTACCGCGTGGAAAAAAGATGCAGCGTCTTCAATCAGATCTTGTCCTTGGAACGTGTGCGCGATCGAGGTTACGACAACAAGCGCAAACGACAATCGTGTTCGTCCTCACAGAGTACAGTTCCTCTGTACTGTACTGTACTCTGGGATTGGAAAATGTTCCTGGAAGGCCAGAGTAGGTGTTGACTTTTGTGTGCAAGCCAACAGTATACGTGAGTCACACTGATGCAACAGTGTGATGATACACTCGATCTCATACTTTATCTTGTTCGAATCATTTTCCTCAAATCGTTGATCTAATCAAGCAAGTGGATGTAACATGGAAACTGAGTGGCACATGCGCTGGCAGCCTGGTTGACGAAGGCTATTGTGCGTTGTCAACGACGCTTTTTCTTGCTTTGAATAGCGGTTCAGAACAAAGTGATCAGCTTTTTGGTAGTTTTCTAAAAGTATTGTTCAAGAACTTTTAACAAGGTAGAAGAGCACTCGAGGTTCTGGATTGCTGATATGATTGTTCTTCTAGCTCAACGGAAACGTGTTATGTCATGTCTTTGTTTCTCTCTCTCTCTCTTGTTTGAAGCATATTCAAATACCTTTCTGTTAAAAAATTGGAAATTGTGATTAAGTAACTCTCTACTATATGTGTAGTGTGATTTCCATGTTTATTTGATGAAACTTCCGATCTGAAACTAAAAAGTCATAAACAGGCTCTAATGAATTGTTTCGAACAAGTTATCATTCAATAAAAGTTACGGTTTTACATTTTCTTTAGGATTTTTGAACTGCTTTAGAGATTTTGACTTCACAGTTCTTCAGCTTTTTCAGTTGTTTTTTTTATTCTTGGCGCTTTTATTATTTATCTGATTAATATAGATCCATCATCAAGAATAGTGCAAATAAATTCTACTTTGATAGTACAACTCTACTAATGAGATTAAATAGTGGATGTAACTAAAATTGAAACAATAAGGTTATCTGAGCAAGGGTTGTAAGTAACTTTTTAAGGTGTATATCAACATAACTACACACTAAAACTCTTGATGCACATTCCATTCAAGCTAAACTAACCCTCAAGGGATGAAATATTGATCACTTGATAATTGCTTATGATGACATATTCTCAAATTCATTCCTCATTCAGGTCGGAATGCAGCCAAATATTAGAAAGAAATATGTCCAAAAAAATTACAAGCAGCTATTGAAAAAAACTACTGAAAAAATTTCTCTTACTTTTTTTTTTCAGAGGTATTTGGTTACTCTGTTATGTATCGTCAAAGTTGGTACTGCCCAAAGTTCTTAGATTCTGCAAGTATTCAATGATAAAATCTGATGGATTAATAAAAATACACTTTTGATGACCTAAGCGCTAGATAGTTGCTGGCATTTACTCTTAGTGCAAGGTATTCTTGAAAACTAACAAAAATTGTCCTTGGTTCTCAGTGATCCGCAATTCTTACATATCTTATAAGTTGTCTAACCTCCACTAAAAATTGTTCAGAATATTATTTTTTACTCCTAGAAATTGTTTAGAATACTAATTTCCACTTCCGTCTGTCTTGTACCGAAAACACTGAAGATGGAGGGCTGGACATTTTGTGATTCCTTGGCAAGCAAGTACAATGCACAGTACATTGATTCCATTGCTTTTCTCAGTTGACTATCTCAGACCGGAAGACTCTTTCCTACATCGGCTTCTTCAGTGCCAGTAGAGACCACGGGAGTAAAGTTGAACTTAGAATCCGGCACCACTCATTGGTTTGAACCCGAGTTGTACAAAGGAAATTAGTGAGTTTTTTTTTTTTTTATGTATGAAATGGTTTAACTCTTGGGTCATGAGGCTCCTTTCACATCCTGTAGCTTTGAAGAGTTGAATAGGTAGTCTTATCATGTAATGTCAGTACGTTGCTTATCGATACCTTCAGGCCCTAAAAAAAATAGCTAGACTTTGTTTAACTTTGTTTAAGTTAAACCTACTAATAGTGACATATATTAGTGTTAGGGTTTTAAGGACTTGTAACTCACTAGAGTAAAGTGTTTAATTTTGAGTATAATATTACAATAGTAACATACATTGGTGTTTGAGTTGGATGTCACTTATAAAACGAAAGTATAGAAATTTATTATCTTCTATTACATCCTTCCTAAGGCATTCTATAAATGTGTTTGGTTTCAAGATCGACTTCATTTTTCATTATGTATTGTTCACGGTAATTGACGTAGGCTTTATATTTGTGCTTGAATTTGGATTAATACACAATAATCAAGTGAAACAATTGATGACGATATATATAGCAAAATAATTTACTGAAACCCAGAAAGATTGAATTGTTGAGATAAGCTTTTAAATACAAGTATGCCACATTCTTCTTTTTCACAACTATGTATTGTGATCATGATAGGAATTTTACTTCCTAAATTAGATTTCAAACTGTCACTAATTGTTTTTATTGAGCAGATTTACAAGTTACACACTAATGATTATGGAATTTTATGTCATGGAGACGAGTAGACAGCATTGGGAGGTTTAACTCTTGTATCCTATGCACCTTTCGAGAATTATCGTCCCAGCAGCCTTGAACTGATTCTTGTGCTTCTCGGCGGCCACAGCTTGTGTCTCGCCTCTGTGCTCTTGGGGTTGACTCACGCCCTGTAGTCAATGTAAAGCCACGACATGGGCCACACATTAACAACCAGCCGCCGGGAGAAGCACAGAAGGCAGCAAACTTGTCGAGAATAAATATACCTTGACAAACTAGAAGGATGGCTCGCGTTTCTTGGATCATTTAACGATGATAAATCTACATGGTGTTCTGTCATTCCGGCACTTTCGACAGAAATGTGATGAGAATCATCGTACACCTCCACGTCTCCACAGGCGAACGTGACTTGTACGTTGGTGCACCGAGATACGATCAAAGTCGATTCTGGAGTTGGATCAAAGATATGAAGTCTGGTTAGAAATCGATGGAGAAGTCAATTGCAAGAGGCAGGTCCTTAGTAATTTAGCGGGAGATCCCGAGATGACAATTTCTCAATCCATTAGCGGGCTATGATTGAAGATTAACGACAAATAATACCTGGAAGCGGGGACAGAAGGTGGACCAAGGACGTCTTCTCTGAGTCCCTGCGCATCAGTTAGATCAGATTGAATCCTACTTCAGCTTATACCTTTCCATACTTCCTTCAGCAATAGCCTCCTCCGCTGCGCCTCAATGATATTGGGAACAAAAGAACACCATGTTTTCTCTTCTGTCTTGAGTTTGTGGCATAGATCCAGTTGGGGCAGCATGCTCTGTACGTCCTCCTGGCTGACAGTTTTCCATTGAGCGTCCAGAATTGACTTACGCCGGGAGAGCCATCCATTCTCAGATGGATCTCCTTTTCACATTGCTGGTCAGTCTCATGATCGAGACCTATTAGCCGTAGCAATGTGCTTCCGGTTGGCCAGTTGGGAGCAAAATGACCTGATTATCACCTTCCCGAGACGACTGCAAGCCTCTCATGGTAGAAGTTTTCAGAATGCCGTCCGCGTCATGCTTGTAAGAGGCCGTAGCATGTAGCCTGTCAACATGGTGATAACTTAGCCAAATATAGCGATAAACTTCAGATGATTTAATAGATGATAAACATGAATTGTAACTGCGTCTACTTAATAAAGGAATTATGAGATTCAACAACTGGCGAGGCCAAACGAAGTAAGATATAAGATAGATCATCTTTGCAGTTAAGCATACAATTTGTCCGCCTCTCGAATTCGTGCAACGAGTTGATTGAGTTGTACAACCGAGGCAGGGGTACATCTCATTCTCAATTCTATCCAATCAAATTGATGGCAATTGAGCTGAAACCATCATCTAGCTGTTGGTACGTTTGTTCGCGATGGCATCCCTTCAACTCCATGCAAGTCCGATGATTTCTAGAAACTTCAAATGTTTAAAGTTTACCTGCTGGAATATTGCTCAGAGAAACTGTTTTGCCTTCATCAAATCATAGACCATTTGGCATTTGGCAATATCAGGAACTAGCTTGCCAACACGATAGCTCCCTGGAACATCTCGTTATCATGCTCCCATGGGATGCCATTCACCTCTATCGTTGGGATGAGTCTATTGAGCTCCTTTAAATCTCGTGACCGATTCTCATCGAGTTCGCAACCTTCCAAACAAAGACGCTGGATGCTTTGGCAATCGTTGTTTTGTAGACAAGGTATCAACTTCTCCCACACACCTCCAAATTCGTCTGGAGCAAAAGAGATCACCAGTTTCTGATGTCCAGGATCGATCCCTCTACTCTGAATGCTGTACTCGAAGGTGTGGTCATAGCCGTAGAGTCTCGACTGATCAGATCTCTGGTCGATGTGAAGATCGGTGAGGAAGGTATTACTAAGGGCTACAGAAAGAAACTCATGTGATTCACTGATATCGCTACACTCCGGGGTCACTACGATACTGAGATTGATCAGAGGTTTTTCAGGGCTATCGCCCCAGAACATCCTCAAGCCATCTACCAGACATTCAAAATTCGACTTCAGAAGGTCGGAAAAAACCCACTTGCAATCTTTCACAATGGAAGCACGGAGGAAGTGAGTGCCAGCAACTTTCCACTGATCGCAATCAGCTTTGTGAAAATCGAACTGCCACTGACTGCAGTTCAGTAAATTGATGTGCGTGAGACTGGTTGACAGCAAAAGAGGCAGCGATTCTTCCAATCCCTGAATTTGATTTTCCAAATTAAGCTGGTCGAGCGTGCAAGTTTCTGAGAAGGCCTTCAACAAAACATCTGCCATTCCTTTTTCTGCATCTCTAATCCTCAATTGCCGTAAACTCCTGCTCTTCATCAAGCCTTCAGACAACCCGTCCACCTCATTTTCTTCTAGCATGCAAGTGCCGCTCAACAAAAGATTACGAAGTTTCGGTAAGCAGGAAATGATTTGACCTATCGGAATAGCTGCTCTCCCTGTGTACCAATCTGAGATTTCAAGATATTCTATCCGAGGGCAGGGATTGTCTTTCAGCCCCAAGGCAAGTTGTGTAAGAATTGATTCCCTCACTTGCACGGGCCCTGTGTTGCCCTGCACATCATGGAGCTTCTCACCAGCCTTGACAACTAACCTTTTCATGCCTTGCGCGTTTCCAAGTATCTTCCTCCATTGGATACCTATAGCCACCTCTGTCTCGACACATGCGAGTGGATGGAAATGCACTTCCTCCAGCCCCGGATTATACTGCAGTGGTGTCAGGAAGGCTTCCCATTCGGGAACAGTCAGTTCACAGGTGTTGAGATTAACTGTATCTAAGACTTTCAACATCCTGCACTTTCCCAACGCAGCAAGGATCTGCAACCGCATATCTGCACGTCGAGCTGACGGGAAGTTTCCTACTTTGAATAAGCCTGCAAACTCCTCACGGCCCAGATACGGCAGACATCCGTTTTCTTCGACAAACTCCAATGCTTTCCTCATGGGCCTTGAGATTAGACGTTTCATGAAGTTTCCTTCACTCAGTATCTGAACACCCTTCCGAGACGAAAGCCGTCTACTCTTCTGGTCCATCCTCGTCAATCGTGCAAGCAGCGTCTGGGCAAGGCAACGACGACAACCTTGTGTTATTATTTCTCTGAATTCTCTTAGGTTTGATAATTCCTTGCAACCCGAATCCACTCAACCTGAATTGTCAAGTCATTGATGGCACTTGTATGAAACTCTTGACTCTCGGAAGTATGTCCAATCAAAAAAACTTTCAGAGTTGTTGATTAACGCAACATCAGGCAAATTCTTGCGTAGGGCAGTTCAAGTGAAATTATAAGCTACATTTCTCATTACATTCAAGTTAGAAGTTCACTCATGACTTTTAATAGAACCGACTTTAGTATCCACAAGCGTATATATCACATTTAGCGTCACATTTATCACTTAACATTACGGTCATGTAAAAGCATGTATCAACAATCAATCGACTTCAATCAAATTTTATGCGGAACAGTTGTTGAGATACCATCAAGAGACAGAGCGAGGATAAGAACTAAGAGATGGGTGGAAATTGCGAAGTAAAAGTAGATTATCGAGAAACCTCAGAATGCGAAATATTCAGGAAAGGGGAAAACACATATACTCAATGCGTATGAAGAGACATGTGCAAGCAAATTCATCAGAGAAAAACTGAAGAAAATCGGTCCAATTCAAAAGTATGACTGAGTTCCTGTGCATGATCCAGTCTAAGACCTGTGGTTGTAATTCGGCTCACCTCCTGATTTCAGATCAGACTGTGTTTGATATATGGAGGGAAACAACCGCCTAAGAGAGCAAAATCCGGTTTCACGAGCATGTGAGAACATCAAACGTGTCCATGATCTGTAAGGAGGATCAGGAAACAAGGGAATCAGGACTGAAGTTTTAATCTGAATAAATACCAGGTGACCACGTCTGCCTCGTATCTGAATCATCAATTATAAGACAGACCTTCAGAAGAGCCTGGTCACTCGAACCGGCCGAGACATCAGATCATGTTCGTCAGACGTTGGCATCTTGCACTTGAGATCGAAGATGTCAGTTGTAGAGATTACGGGGCCGACGATGAACAAGTCACAGATGAACCTCAACGAGGCCAGCATGAAGCACTGGGAAAGACTCTGTTGTTGGGGTAAAACGGTTGACACGGATTCCAAATGGCAATCGCATGAGCTTGAAGAACTGAATCTGGGCATTGGGCAAAGAGTATACAACTGGAACTAAATTTGTTTGCGATACGTTTCTCAACGAAGGACTTCATCAGCGGGTTCTCTCCAAGTGAATGCGACAGACGAGTCTGCCTTTTTTCGTATGTTCGTTCGTATGGTGCCCCTTACTCCCTTCACATAATCGATGCTCTCCAACACCTGAGAATGAATATTTAGATCAATGTAAATTGCAGTATGAAAATCACATAAAGATTATTTGACTAGCATACACAGAGCACAAAGTACAGGGCTATAAGAGCAGTAGAGGCAGTGACGACAGAGCAGTCTCTCATTGAGAAAAGGGACTATGTCCTAATTGCACAGCAGGAACATTCCAAGGGTACATGGTCCACTGGGACCTATGTTGATATGCAGCTGCATGTAAAGAGTCAATCAGGTGGAAAGGACGTGTGCGTGTCCTATTTATGTGGTGAACCCGAAGCACATGATCGCATGGAAATTTGGGCCCTTCTTGGTTATGTGCTGTACAGTGAACCAAAGTGGTCATTGGAGCCTGCGAAGAAACGAATATCGACCCATGCTTGTTCTCTACTTCAGAATAGACAATGTCCTTTGGTAGCTTCATCATGATTGGAAGCCTTTTCCGCTTCTTGACAAACTAATTGACTTCAACTTTTGTGATTACGAATTCCCAACTCAAACTTCGGCCGTTTGTGTCCTATTTCAACCGAACAACCTTTTCTAGCATCTACTCCGCCTCGTACGGAACATCATCGCATCCTGGTTTCAGCATATTGCAACTTGTAGCAGGTTGTGAAGAGGATCTCAAATTTTAACAGTTGCATTGCGCCGATCACAATTGCAACTTGAAATTTTCGATCTCCTACACTGAACCTCTCTCCATCAAGTCGCATTCACAAAACCAGCTCCGCAATGTACATAGTTTGCAATTTACGAGAATTCGATTGAGTGATCTCGGGAAATCCTTCTGTACAGTAGTCCATCGGGATTACCATCTCATAACCCAGGTTCCACTGGGAACCGGGGACTCTGCAGCCACGTGTAGATTCGCTCCATCGGCTCCATCGGGCCAATGCAGAAAGGGGCAACAGACTTCTGGGTAACTCGGAATTTTTTTAGCTGATTGCGCGAGATCTAACTACTCTCCTTTCGTGCTGGCCCTCTTAGACTCCTGTGTTTGTGATGTCAAATATCACGCTCACATTATGCCACTGTTAGCCGCTTTGATCTCGGTTCAATTAGGTTCAATTTCGCAAGTATTTCGCACACTACGATTAGGAGGTCCTAGCATACTCCCGACGGGAGTTCCTCCGTGAAGCTCCTGATGGGGTATTAATAGTATTAACACATGCATGGTTATATTAGTCGGTAGGTAAATTAGCTTCATTTAGTTTTATCAAGAAGATTAATTTAGGGTTTTTATGCCAAATACCACCTTGAGTCCACTTGAGAGGTTGAGGGAGAGAGAATCATCATCACGTACACGGTGGTTGTTGTGACGTTCTTGGATGAGAGAAACTTTAATTTACAAATCCCCATACAAAATCGGTGAGGTATGAGACTGAGGTGCTAACAAAGTCATATACAATCATCACAGCTGAGATATCCTACAATCCAATTTTGAACCAATTACAGTAGGTTAATTTAGTAGCTAGAGGGAGGGTCAATTTAGGTAATTTAGTATTTTCGTTATTTGGTCGCCTAAAATAACCATGATATTATTGATGTGAGGCTCTAGATGCAACTCCGTTGGTTTTGGTATTTGGAGATAAGTTTGACTCAAACAACACACGCAGGCTTCTAACTGGACTAGCAGTGGTCGTAATAGTGATCTCAATTTACAAGCTAGAGCTTGTAACGCAGACTTAGGACAAGAATTGCCTCATTAGAAATTACACCCCCTAAGAAACTCCTTCAGCAATTTGAATGTGATTCATTAGAAGGTTATTGTGGTTGAAACCGGACAGATGGTAACGGTGTTAAATATACTGAAGGAAGCACCTAGAACTCAATAATAAGGAGTAAAGGAAAGAGTTAGCGGCAGGTCAAAGAACAAGACTTATATCGAGCAGTACAGATTGATGTTCCTTTCTTGGTATTTGGACAGCGAAGTTTGTGTACGTATTATTATGCTCGGTGAGATGTCACTCCAGATAGATTACATGAACTTTGTGAAATACTGAGACTTGAGAGTTTCCATTATATGTCATAGAGTGACTAAGAATTTTTTTTCTAACCTCACATTCGATTTGAAGAAAATATCGCTAGTTCATGTGATTGGTATGGCTAACCGATGTTATAATATTTTTAATATATCGTTATGTATTGATACTTACATTGGAAGGAATTACTGCCTTCCCTTGAGAATCCAAGGAACAAGCTGTGGATGGTATATTCAGATAAAACCTCTTCTACATGGGGAAGGAATCCCAGAAAGGTATTGTGCTACTCCCTGGACTGCCAGCACCGAGATAGAGCATCTTGCACTGAAGACAAACCTCAGTTATAATGGTCTGGTGAAGGTGATCTGTGCCATGAGGTGATGTGTGCATTAGGAGGTGAATACCTTTCAATGAATAAAAGAAATAGGTTTCCAAAACCATTCATTGCTATCAACTAAATAATCTCACTTTACCTATATAGAGGGCACGAGGGAAGAATTTGCTCTTGACATGAACCGCATGTCTATTGTGTGTAGGAGGTTATGCTTTAGTGATGTTTGAGTGCCCAAATTTGCCCATGGACGCAACCCCATCCCTTTCTGTTTCATAGGTTCAGCCAATGCTCGCTGAATCAAAGATGCCAAAGTCCAGCAATGATTGCCTCTCCCCGACCATGATATTTCGTCACCTTCTTTTCTTTTTGGTTTTTATTGATTAAATATGGCACCAGTTATCTCTTCTTCTTTTTTTATCCACTTAGTTGTTGCTTGATTTTTCCCCAAACCAGCAAAAAGATGACAACTGCCTCTTTTATTCGACGACTCCCTTTTTTCCCATATGACAAAATGTGTTGGCTCCTCCGCATGAATTCTTTCGTTCTGTGGCCCACTTGCAACCAATTATGCATCAGTACTATGGTTATGTAACAACCATGAACTTTTGATTGTGTAGGATAACTTGCGCATGTTGATAGATATTCGCCTTTGGCTTTGACATAAAATTTCGCAATCTATGATTCTCCGTACCTAAAAATTCCTGCTTACTTTCATTGATTCTTTCAACGAAAACTTTTTCTAACTGAAATGTTTTGCGTATGACGAAATGGAATGTTCCACTCACATGAAGGCCAGCGACCAAGTCCTATAGCTCAAGTATGTGTAAATATAGAAAGCTTTATGGAACCAAACAAAAGAACTATGTTCAATGAATCAATGTCAGCCAATGTGTACATGTACGGGGGTGTATCGTAGGCCTACGGACATAATTATCATCGTCATTTTAAAATTTGAAATGTAATGTAATAATGAATTGAGTGTGTGCGCGCATACAAAGGTAACACAATTTATCATTTTCATATAATAATAACAATGAGGAAAATGTGAATAATTTTTTTATTAAATCGAAAATTTGAAGCTCAAACTGGTACTTGAATCATCACACATATTAATCAATGTGAATTTATTCAAATATCAAGTTTTTTTTCAAAAAAAAGCTAAACTTGGATGCGATACAAAGGTTTAATTGAGTTTCATGCATTATCATGTCCTACATGTATGATTTTCAAGATTTTTTTCGTGATAAAGTTCGATAAATGCCATATTTCAAAAAGTCAGTGAAAATAGTCAACAAAGTAAAATTTACTTTGCAGCAAAAAAATTTCTAATATGATATCATGTTTGAATAATCACAAATATCTTCTCAAATGTATTGCATATGAGTTAATGAATTTTTTATAAATTACTTTCATTCAAATCTATTACACATATCATAATAAACTCCGTTCAAACAATTAAAACTTCAATTTAAAATCATATTAAAATTCATGTGATAGTAATAACACAGATTTTTCAAATTCAATCATGAAATGAACTAAGTATAAATTTTATAAAATGAATTTATATTAGTCATTAGCTGTTTAAAATATAATAAGTTTTAACATTGCTTCCAGATATGTAATAATGAAATCACAAGTATGAAAAAATAAAATTTCTTCAATACAAGTATGAAATTTACAGAGCTTTCAAGATCATATAGTGAATTGTGTTGTCATTCTTATAACGAGGATTTTTTAATGTGTGTACGAGTAATTGTTACTAATTGAAATCTTTCATTAAAAAATATTTAACGATGAAACATGAAATTCAAAACCAAATTAATATATACACATACATGCAAAATAAAGTTAAATTTTGAAAATTTCAGCATTTCTTTTATTATGAAGTAAATTAATACGAATCAGTTTTATGCAAGACATGATGAAAATGTGCTTTATCAAATCGAAAAATTTGCATTTAATATAAATATAATTCATTTCAACTTGTGTCAATTTAAGTTTATCTTCTATTATATTTAATATGTTTGATCATTCTCACTCTGAATTATGACATAGTTAAATTTCAGATCATACTCATTGTTGAAATTATGACATAGTTACATTTCAGATCAAATATTAATTTTCAGGTTTTGATATCAATAAGTAAAATAGAAATAGTGTATATCTTGAATATGATCTACATCCTATTCTTCAGTAATAATAAATCAGATAATGTCCAATGTCTTAGCACTACTAGATTTAATTATTTTTTGGCTTTTCGGTTAAGTCACCTACCTTTTTAGTAATATGAAAATGAATTATTACACACTTCAATACAATGTTTCATGCTTTAGTATGATAATGAATGTTGGAGAGTCTTTCGTTCGTAAAATACTGAATTCACATGCACGCCATGTCACACCAGTCATAGCTGTATTATCTCCAGCACTACTGGTCAATGGTAGACAAAATAATTCTGAACTTGTAAGCACAAAAGTTCAAGAAGTAAGGTTCAAGCATCCTCATCTCGAATATTAAAATAGCAGCTTGAAAATTAGACTTAAATCACCGGAAATATCTTGGACTTACACCAGCTATATAACATCCAGTAACTATACCAGCTCCCCTTTATTACCTTCACTGCTTCCCCTACTTCTTCATCCTTTATCAAACCAGACCATTTATGTATATTTTGAACTGCAGAGCACTGATGCCAATAGGATTGTACAAATGTTGGACATTTGGCCACATCGATTGAAGCTTCACTGCTTCACGAATCTGTAGCAGTCAGTGACCATGGACAACAACGAAGAGGCTGCAGAAGCCAGTGCAACGATAGCGTTGGTGTCGCAAGAGTCTGGGCAGACGGACGATCAAGATGGGGACATGCAAATTCCACCCCCTGTCAGAGTGTTGCTGCAGGCACTAGATGGAGATGTTTCTCAGGACACGCAGCCAATTGAAAGCATACCCTGTCTCACAAGCGAAGAGTATGGTGATATTTTCAATCATGGAATTCCACCATCCATCCTGCGGTCGGAGTTGCGGCTTCAAATCCTCAAGGCGCTGGGAAACTGCAAGACTTTGAAGAATTTCAACACAGCTTATCTGAATTCCTGCGAGCTAACGAATCATGAGTGGCAGGCTGTTGTGCAAGCACTGCAATCCAGTCTCGTTTTGGAGGATGTCGTTTACTATCCAATTGCTTCTGTGGAATTGGAAGCTGAGGTAGCTCCTTACTGGAGTGATGTGTTCAGAAGCACTAAAACCCTCACCAAACTTACGATTTGTGAAGACTGTCACTCGCATGAGAGCAATCTGAGACCATCGTTCGCCTCTGCGCTAGCATCAGGTTTGGAAGCCAATGCCCACCCGCCCATAGATGAACTTAAAGTCTACGACTGGCACCATGTTGGTGTTCCAAACGAGCTCTCCAGAGTTATTTCTTCTCTTCCCCGCCTGAGCAAATTAAGTCTGAGTGGCATCTGCAAGTTGAGCGAAGAGGAAATTTCACACATGTCTGAAGCTCTTGGCTCGAGCAAGAAACTTCAGACTCTTCAGGTGCAGGATGCAGAGGTCGATTTTGCCCAAGTTTTGGTGGCGGCGTTCGCCAGATCACGCGCAGACCATATTCTGCATGAGCTTCACTTGACTGGTCGTTTAGAAGGTCTTCTAGATGCGCTACCAGACTTGTGCTCAGGAAGAATAAACATTATATCTCTCAGTTACGACCTTTGGGAACACAATCTCAAGCTCAGCCTCGATCAACGGCAGCGACTTGGAATTTCTCTTCAGGGGTCGAAAGTTCTTCGTGAATTCAGGATTCGAATCCTCATTGGAGACAGACAGGATTCAAACCTTCTAGATGCATTGCCATCTGCTGATGATGGCTTCTATCATCCCACTCATGACATTCTACCGAAGACAACCTTTCAGATCTGTTTAAGCTGTACCATTCCTTCACGGTCAACATCTTTAGTACTGGAAAACTACTTACAATCTCCTTACCTAGAATCCTTAGAATTTGTATCCAATGCTCTGATTTGCTTTTCAACCGCGAGATTATTCGAAAGCATAAATCGAAATGGTGGTATTAAGAGGTTAAGTTTCAATGGTTGTTCCAAGTTCAGATGGGGGTTCCTTTTCCAATCCTTGAAAGAGAACACAAGCGTTCGATACTTGGAGTTCAGACACTGTGAGGAGTTCAATTCTGAAGACTACATCCGCTTGACAGAGATCCTCCAGTTCAATTTCACGCTTGAGAGCATAAATGTCGATGGCACCTCCTGGGCACATGATTGGAGGGCCAGGCTGTTGCAAAAGATCTTGCTGAGAAATTGGCAGTTAGCAGAAGCACTCTGGTTTCTCCAAGACAAGAAAATGCCTTTTGATAGTCGAGCAAAACCGGCGAAGGTCCTTGTGTGCAAATCTTCAAAAGCAGGTTTGGTTGCATACCTCACTGTTGCAATTTCGAGACGTGAACTTACTGTCAGAGTTCTTTCCTTATTTTCTGAAGTTGTCAATCCTGTGATCGATACACAATATCACCATCAAATGTGAAGTTTTGCCTTTTGGATTCCAATTTTGCTGAATATGAGGATCAGCGAAATACAATATCGGTGATCGGCTCACGAAATTATTGGTGACCATATTCTAGTACAGAACACCAACAAGGCCACTTGATTTGATAGAACGGAGCGGGTCGTAGCTCTTGAAGTTCTAGAATCTATCCTTCGTCCTTAGATTTACTCGCTGATTTCCAAGAGACAATCGATGAACACTTGCACATCAAAAGTGTGTGAGTTTGCAACATAGACGAGATCAGGGGAGCCACTCAAGTGGTAAATTTTCCGAGTGCCCAGGATACTGATTATTCAATCGATTTTGTCTCAGGTGATATCCAGCCGACCGTGATGAGGATTGTGAACGCGATGAACACAAATCGACGATTCTCCTGTTGCATCAAAGCGGAAAAAGCAGGCTCCCCCTCCAGAAGAAGAGGTCGAAACGGCCAACCCTGTACATCTGCTATCAACATACCAAGCAAAAATAAAGACACGGTTGTGCAGCTGTGGGACATTTCTGGACCCGCCTGTACTCATTATCTCCCGATAGTCTATCCAATGTCTGCTGTTGCGACTGAACTTGAGTTCGTCTATGTTTTCAGTCCGGTTGACCTCCAGAACGGCACCTGGAGCTTAAAGGACCAAGTGTCTGAGAATTTCGGAGCGGAACTGAAGAAGATGATACAGCTCATACTGTCCAAGCCATTTGTACTCGAGAGTCCCAGAATTCTTGCTGTGTTGACGAACAAGACCCTTCTCGAGGAGCATGGGTCGAGTTTTGATCCGAATGCTGTCCTGAACATTATGACATCGCTGCGTGAGGAATTTCCACAGTGCATCCTAGAAGGTCGCAATCGGGATGAACCCTTGCTCATCAATACCGAGGACGAAGAGGATGTGAAATTTGTTCTTGACAGTGCTTTGCAATTCGTTGATGACTATCGGACGGCGACACCACTGACTCTAGAGAGGCCCAAATGCTGCTCGGTAGTAGCTTCTCGTCTGGCCGATATATCAGCCAAACTTATGTCACGTCCAATTTGGTCCTTGTATAAATTCCACAAGTTCTGTACTTCCAAAGACGCAGTTCTCAGACGATGTCACCGCAGACTCTCAGATTTCGAGAAACAGAAACTGCTGCGAGCTGTGGACTCATTCCTCGAAGAGATGGCCGCCATCACCGTCATCCCCAGATCTCCATTTATAGAAGCTGCACAGGACCTCGTCGTGATGGACGATGTCTGGCTACTGCGAGATGTTTTGGGAGAACTGGAGAATGTGGATCCCCTGTTCCAGCCTGGGCCAGGGATACCTTACGAGCACATCAGCGACACTCGATTTGTCTCCGTTGCAGACATGCGGGTCTTAGTGGCTAAGCTTCTGAAACTGCCACAGTCCCGAGGTAGGAAGGTGGAATTCGAAATGATCGAACAGATTTTGCTCCATTATAAGCTTTGCTTCAAGGTTAGAGCACACAACTGGCAGGAATACAAGTACTATATTCCAGCGATTTGCCAGGAAGGGTATTAGGATTGACATTGTTATATACGTAGTCCAAGTGACAGTTCGCAGTCTGCTGCAAATGTGAGTCATGGAAGACTATGTGTCCTGATTGTTCCACCCAAACCATTTGCAATCCTGTAGTCATAAGTAGAAACAAGCTCACGTTTGACATCCACCGATGCCAAACATCCAATGATTCTGAGTTGAGGGCAATTTTGTATACTCAAGCTCCTTGAGTTTCTGGATCTCACTATGGATATTCCCTGGAATGACTCGGCAAGCTACACAAGAGATGTGCAGTGATAAATGAAGAAATGGATGTCGAAGTCCTTACGACAGACTGAAGCACATCCTCCCAGGTGCCCAGCTTACTTCCAAGACTATGAACCGAGTCGCCGTATAATGTGCGACTAGCTTTCAAAACGCAAGTGAAATGCGTTGAGCGACATGAAATATCCACATTTTTCTATTGATTTTGATTCCCATTTGAAGAGACACTCCTCCTGTTACCACTGTGAAGTTTCCTCGGAATAATTTCTTTACGCTAGTACATATGACTACTCGGATTAGAAATTCTGCGTTCTGTGAATTTTAAGAAATGTTTTGTTCAGGTATGGTTTATGACATTGAACTCAACCAGATCCAATCGAAAAGATTAGACCTTGTAAACTTATAATGGTTCACGTGAGGACTAAATTTCATGAAATTTTGTACTCAAAGACTTTAAGAAACCAACAAATTTCTCCCAATTTTCAATAAGAGCCACTGATTTGAATGTTTAACATGCTTACAATGCACTCAAACTCATCTACAATCGATGAAGATAGACATACCGTTGCGTCGAATAGTCTTGATGGCAATATTAGGCCTGAATAATTAAGTGGACCTGCTTTCTCTTGTCACTTGAAGTATGATCATGCTGTCAAGGTAAATAGAAGACGAAACTTCCAGAAACTATGTTAATTCTCAATCATTTGATCATGACACTGATGTCGCATATTTCTCCATGTAACCACGTGTACTAATAAATTCAGTGTTGCTAGATTTTGACTTGAGATGACTTTTGTATGAAGTTCTAAGATGGTACACATGACCAATGTATCATTAACACTCCTTGGCAATATGATCCTGTTAATTGATTTAGTTAATGTTCACATAGAGTTCTGTAATTATTATGGGTACTTTATCACATAAGTTTTGCACCCTAACTTGTACAGATTTTTATGCTGGTTAATTTCATATTAATCTTATCATCTATTCTAACTTCATTCACTATATTTTTGGGTCTTCTTTGAAGTATTTCTTTACCATAATATCTAAAAAATGTATAAATTATTATTTCATGTATAAATCTGAGAATAATGAATGTACATTTGATTACTTTAAACGTATAAATCTTGAGAATGTTTTAGAAAGCTTTCAATGGCCTACCATCATGAAACCACTATTTTTTTAGTCATTGCTCTCAAGACCAGGATAGAGCTCATAAAAATTTACACCTAAAGTTGGCAGAGCAAAGCGGCTGGTTTCTGTCAAAAAGTAGAAGCCAGGATGGTTGTTGATTTCTAGGCTTTGGAAACTGGTAACTGGTTCCGAGATCAAGACTAGACGTCCTAGAAATTTACAAATTTTGAAGAAACAAATTGTGCAGGAAGGGACGTCAACCTCATAAGATCTTGATTTTTATCAATCAACTCAAGACTTATACAATAGAAAGGTTGTGTATTAGATACCAAACTACTCGTCTCAAACGCTGACTTTCTCATGAATATTTGAGTTCGATACTTTTGATTCCACAGTGATGATAGTTGTATATTAGAAGATAAATTGTTAGGCACAAATAAGTCAATAGGATTTTATTACTATAAAACTATAGTTGAGTACGTTTATGGTGCGTGAGAATGTGTGGTAACTTACGTCTGTATACTCGGATACCTTCTTCACGAGACTTTGTTTTTTTACTATCAACAGGTATTCTGACACATGATTGTGAGATGGATCTGTCAAACTGCAAACAAGAGTCTTCAGAGTTTCTAAGCCTTTATCTGCTCAAGCCATGCGCAGTGCGGCAACCAAAAAACACCATCACGAAAGAAAAGATTTACTTCTGGGACACTTTATAGAGATATAGTAATATCTTACTAATCAAAACAAAAATGATGTGTATCACATGGCTTCTGTATATGAAAGCTAACCAATTTGAGCACATCACAGTACGGAACTGAGGTCCGTCATCTGTTTACTGAAACCAAAAGCAGGGTATCTATCATTCCCGGGCATCCTCGAGCTCTACCTGGCGCTACATGGTGCCATACTACACTAATTATAGTACAAGTGGAAGATAAGGTCTACATCTTTGAGTGAAATATGCTGTAGTAAGTGATTTATGAGGAAGCTGAATAGTGTACATACACATATACATGATTGAACTACATATACATCTTTGCTAAGACCTCCGCCTCTTTAGGTAGGTGTTATCTTCTATGTACAACTCGTCCACTTCTGCTAGTGCTACTTCCTGCACTGACGTTTGATACAGCTTGGTTATTGAGAGCAGCTAGTTCCCTCACTCTGGCAAGTAGCTGCGACGGTATGGCAGCAGAAAACTGCTTCTTGCGCGTTTCTCCCTGCATTGTCAAACAGAAGCAGACGTAGCTCGGTAGGTAAGCTTTCAAATGAGCACAAGGTTGATTGACGTTATCTTGAATAGCAGAATCACCAACCCTTAAATCTCCATACAATCAGAACATGAGCTCTCTTGAGATAATAGTACTACATTAATGGACAAGAATCAGATGAGATAAACAGCAGAAGTGGCTCATTCAGACAACACAAGTTAAGACTCAACAATTGAGCAAGATGACCTCCTAAAAGCTGGCAGAAGCTATGCATGAAAAAAATTGACGAAGGTTACCTGTTTGGGAGGGTGTAACTGGGCTCTACTCGCTCGTAAAAGGTTGCGCCATTTATCCTGATATATTGACACAGCTCTAAAGTAATTAGATACATATTCACATGGATCAACATCAACATGGATATTCATCACGTTGTCAACCTTTCACTGTATAGACAGAAATTACTCGGTAGTATATTCTATGTTTATCTATTTAGTAGTCTGATCCTGGCAGAGCCTAAAATCCCGTCCGCGTTCAGGGTGGTCTCATATCTATTCGTAAAAGATCCACCCATAACAATATCACTTGAAATCAATCAATGAAATGATATGAACAGAACTCAAATCTAAACAGTGAGGGCGAGTAACATGATCTTCCATTTTATAAAGTCTGTTATCCAGAAGACCATAGAGAACAAAGATTTGTAATCCAAAATACATGAACATATAATCATATCCACACACCCATCAACACCCTATCCACAACGAACGAGTACGAATTTGAGAGCAAGATGGACCTCACCTTTAAATCAACCGCTGTACGATAACTAACGGTGGAAAATGCCAGCTTCTTTATATCAGCCCATTTCCCACCCCCACATCGAGCTACCCCTTCCACGAGGGTAAGAACCTCCCGAAGGGTCCAAGGTCTATGATGTTTACGGCGTGTGCCGCCATTGGCTGTGGGCACTGTCACCACAGCCTGTTCATCATTTGATTCCGATCTGGTTTGATACTGAGAATTTAGCAGTTCATGGTCTCCTATGGTTTCGTCGATTCGTACCGGCAGCAAACACGATACCTGTTCTCCATCTCCACCGTTTAACACCTCACCCTGCCATTGACGACGAACATCTGAACCTTAGGGAAGTGTATCTTAGTTCTAAATTTCACCTTTCTGCGAAGGAGGTGGTAGATTACTCTAGTTCTTCAGACAAGTCAAATAGCAATGCAGATGTCAAGCAAGGTTACGATTAGTATTGCATCTTACTTTCCCTATTTGACTATGAAACCTTCCATCCTGGTGGTGAGGATTTTTCGAATGAAATACCTTTTCCTGACCAGGAGCTGCTGGTAACCTAAACTTCACTTTGCGGATTGTTTTCTGTATATCAAGCCGGGCAGCTCGGGCAGAATGTGCTATTTTCACAAGCTTTGCAGCCCGCGAATCAATCTTTTTCTTTTGCTGTGAAAGAACACCAACAACAGTCAATTCCTCGCAGTGAATTGGTTTCATGTTTTATCTCATGAGGAGAGGTCAGTTTGTGGTTGTGTACATAATTGAGTAATATACAAGTTAGTCTGGCAAAATTATAACAATCATAAGTTTCATAATAAGATTTCCTTATATTGTTGGGAGATACTTACGATGCCGTTGTTGCCATGCTTGCTGCGTCTTCCATTAGAAGATGTCGATCGGATCGAAGACGTTGACCGCGTCGAAGCTCGTAGGCTTTTATTTCTAATTACGTTGATTTTGCTCTCAGCCTCAACAACTTCCGCATCATTCTTCCAAGATAATCTTAGCGGAGCAGACCGAAGCCCATTCCCAGCGTCTGGAAGTGTACTAAGTACTGACCTGCTACCATTAGCAGCGAGTCCCAGGGATTCATCTCCTTCATCCTCGATATATCTGCGGTTCGGTTTTCGAATTCTCTTTTCCCCAACCAAACTTCCAGAAGTCTGCACCACACTGAGAGTTCCCTCTTGATTGGTTCCTCCGCTGCAATCCCCAGTAATTCCTGGATTTGGAGAATTCAAGGGTGATAGTCCTGACAAGGATAGTGTCTTCCGGTGTGCCTTCTTACATTCATGAGGACTGAAAATTGCCTCGGTTCCCTTGCTCTTCCTCTTCCCATTGACACCAACAGTGGAGAACGTCACAAGAGGCGCTTCTGCAGAAGAGATCTTTTCCGCCCTAGATTTCAAGTTGGAGTCGGTCAACGTAGACTTTGATCGATTATTTTCCTTGCCATTGCTAGTTGCATTCTGTTTGCTCAAACCCATGAAGATTTGACGTTTCAACCAGTGCTTATCTTTTACAGACGTATCTCTACCAAAAGCTTTCCTGTAAGCCTCATGTAGCTCTCTAATTGATAAATTATCCAGATTACTATCAGTTTTCACTGCCACCGTTGAGCTCTCGGACAGAGAAAACACACGATGTTTTTGTGCAAGCGCGGTCCGAGCTCGCTGAATCATGGGTGGACGTATGCGATTCAGGTAATCTGGTGGTGATATGCTTGTAACTGCAGCTGTTGTAGTATTTTCTCCATTTTGCAATGGCTGGGAGTCAGGAATGTTGACAACCCCTGTTCCGCCCTCTCCAAAGGAAGCACGGGCTAGTAGAGAGCTTCCAGATATTTGGAACTCAGCGTCTATCTCTGCGTCAAAGTACTTCGGATTTGGCCGCCTCTGTCTTTTATGATCGACTCCGTTTTCAGCGAGGACAGGGGAAGTAGAGATGACTCTATTGTTGGTGCCTGCTTTAGTAAATGAGGCTTCTCGTTGAGTTCGCAATTGTTCCTCTTTTGCCACTTGCTGAAGCATGGCTTCCACAACCTGTAAAATGAACCCATTCAGACTATGACTCAAAAGACATGTGGATGACTGTTAAACAAACAGCTTTTCTTAAAAATAGAATTATCACAATCAAGCAGTGTAACTCGAGACCGTTGATGTTGTATTTAAGTGGGAGGTACGAATTAACTAAAAGTCATCTAAAACAAACATGTTGCATCCATCCTACCTTTAAACGTGCAAGTAAATTCCTCTTCTGAGCTGTTGGATCGGAATCTTCAAGCAGAGCTGCACTTCGCAACAAGCGCCAAAAATCACTTGATAATATTTTCTTCAGCAGCAGTTTCAAGAGCACAAAATTATGCAAGCCATTCATAAATAGCTCTTTCCTAGAGGTGTCCTTTGATGTATCAGTGCAACACAGAATAGTATTGACCATAAAAGAAAGAAAAAATTGACTACATGAATCTTTTTTATATGTTGACATAGTGTCATAATTTCTTTCATGGATGGGTTAACGCGTTTCAAGGAGAGTGGAATCTTATTTCATTATAGACAGACCGTACCGCAAAATGCTAATGTACAATTGACAGAGAAGAATAGGAAATTTTACCTGTTGATCCATCTTTCTCATCCGAATCATCATCTGTATCTGATTCTTGATCCATGTCACCATCAAAGTGAATCATGTGCTCGTCGTCATTCAGAAAGTTTTGAGATGGATCTGCTTCCGCAACTGACAACGAGTTCATCTCAATATTTGCATCTTCCGTTGAAGGCAGAAATTTCTCGTCAGCTCTATCCTGCATACTCCGATTGGAAGAAATATAATTATTGCAGTGACTAGGAGTCAGCGTGTTACTATTATCGTCACCGATTATAGTGGTCATGAGAAATAGACTGATGGGGAAAGGCCAGGTTAACTGTACAGAGAAACTGAGCAACCAAGGCTATCATAGAGGTCAATTTAGATCGTTAACTCCAATAACTACTTGAACCATCGAGTCCGTTTCTTCGATGGAATCATAAAATATTCAGATCATCCAAATCTAGATGTTGTATAAATTCGAAAATCTACGAACGCCGATTAAATCAACAATCTAATTTGTACGTGGAGTGCTGCACAAGATTACCAAGTTAGCGATCTCTGCAAAAGTTTAAATTTCTGTGTTAAATAAATGAGTGCGCCTCTAGTAGCTAGCTTGCTCGAGGAGCTAAGATAGCCAGCTGTAGCACAAAAAGGTGAACCATAATTTACAAATTGTCAGATTAGGAAGAATTAGAGGATATTTTAAACAGGGCTAACCTTGACAGTCGTCAACACGACCTCATCAACGAATACTTCATCAAGGATTTTCGGAGCTGTTAGTGACGGCACTCCATCTTTGCCTGCTACTTGACCTGGAGTGCCTTTGCTCTCGAGAAGTGTTGAGTCCAGCATAACTCACAACCAGCATATACGTCCGCTGCATAGACAACAAATTTATCCCGTCCTCATTACTTGAAAGACAAAGGTTTTCATTTGTGAATAATCAAGCTCATCACTAGACTGACTTGCACATGCAGGGGTCTAGATATTTCTTAAAATTTAAAAATTATTCAGCTATCTCTCAAGACCAGCAATGAAACGTTTAGATAAAATTTCATTTGCACCGGCAGAGCACAACCTTGACAATCAAAAGAAAGAAACCGCTGGGTGACTTTCCAATAGGAAGGAAAAATGTCTCACGATCTACCTATCTAACAATCAGACAGGAATGCCCAATTCATCGACCAGAAAACGCGTCGATAGTCATCTAGGGTGCAACTGCATACTGCCACAAACAAAATCTGAATCAGCACAAGCTTGAAAGATTACAATTCAATTGAACTGTCCCTTTCAGCGAAATACTAGATACAAGTTCACACTGTAATGTTACACATGCATGTTACCTCAAGAGATATGGTTGAGAGAATCCGGATATCTTGTTAAATTTACATGTCTGAAAGTTTTCAATACTCCATCCATCGAGGATTTCACATCTTGAAACTCATGACTAAACGGAGAGATTGCAACAAATCACATTGCTTGGATGCTTGTCCGTGCAATTGGCGGCAAAAAAGAGCGATCTTGATGATGACACGGGACGTTAGTAAATCCACAGAGCGGTAATGCCAATGGAAAAACTGCGATTGAAACCTTCTGATAAAATCAAACACAGCAAAATCATCTAATCCCAGCCCAAGTTGCAGGAAATCAAGAAATATAATTGTCATTGGCTTTGGACATCACCAGACAGCACGGATGCAGTGAGACCGGACAAAAAGATAGATAAAATTGGCTAAGTCAAAAGAAAGAAACCTGGCACAGCAAATCCAAAGCTGTGAAGCAATGTTTGGAGGATCAAAAGCACAGGACTTCTCCAGACTAAGACTGATATCAGAGAAGAAATGTAAAAAGCAAACTCAACTTACAAATCTGCATATTGAAAAAGAAACGCGAGAAAAAGTCAAAGAAGTTGATCTGGCAATGAGCACAGAAGGAATTTTGTTTCAATTTTTCATGTAAGGAAATACAATTCGGAAACTCCGAAGCCCAAGAAAATACGGTGCTCATCAACTATCTACAAATTGAGGTGCGTGCGGACCTATTACAAACACCAGCCTCGTCAAGAATTTCTCAGTCCTCTATCTTCAGTGCTACATATCCTACACCGATCCATACCCACGCAGCACCACAGAAGTGCAAAGCGGATCTGAAGACTACAAACCTGCACAGAAAGATAGAAATCCTGTCGTACTGCTCTCGCGCTTTTCCCACCTACATGACTCCCTCCCTCCTCCCTTTCAACTGCTCGATTGCACTGTCCACATGCACTGCAGTCTAAACAGAACCTCGCAATTCAGAGTTTGACAATCATCTCCAGGCCCAAGAGTGTCATCCCCTGCATCTGAGCCCCTGAAATCAGCGCCTGATGACAGAGAAAGATCCAGAAGAACGAACGGCCATAGCCAGGGAGAGCCAGAGACAAAGAGAGACGGATGAACAACTGTTGCCCAAGCCCCTGAGTACAAAGAAACGTTAATCCTCGCTCTACGACGTCAGTCTCCTAAACCTGTTTATTCCCACTAATATTCTCGTAAGTGCAGCATCCTCTCCGTGACTAAACTTTCCATTCTCCCCCTAAAGAACCGTCCTCCCCGTACCCGAACTTAAAAGTTCTTGAATTTGAAGAAGTTATAGACCATGTACTGCCATTTATTTCCTGTACTGAGCTATGTCTTTTCTTCTCGCTTGCATTTCTCCCCTCCCTCTTGCCCTACCTTTTTCAGATTGTTCACATCACCGGCGTCTAAATTCGATAAGTTTTTGTCTCAGCCCGCATTTCCTTCTATGCTCTGGGGTCCTGTTCCCTGCGCACAGCTGGGTCCCGTGCCCCGGTCAAACTGCGTCCAACAGTTCACGGAGTGACGGACTCAATAGGAACAACACGGCAGTTTGAGTCAAAGACTTAAATCAATCCCCCTTCACCAGCTGGTGCTGGTGCTGGTGCAATTATTCTGCGCATCTAAATTTGGACAGTATCAAACGAAAGGAATGATCTCCCATGGTGAGAATATGATGTTGACGGTGTAGTACAATCCATGCATCAGAGTACAGCCTCGATTGATAGCATGAACTTTATTTTTGTTCTTCTTTTCGTATTTTATGACCTCCTTTCGCATAATCCATGTAGCTCCTTCAACGACCCTGGAATCGTAAACAACTTAAACCCCATATCACGTCTCTATTAATACTCTTGAATTACATGTATCCCTTAGTTGCGAGAAGAGAAATGGCATTACATTTTGGAGTCACGGAATGCATGTTTGTAATCAGACAATAACTAGAGTCTGCTAAGTAAATTGATGTAGGAGGTCCAGATTAAGATTATGACACCTAATCACGGACAGTTGTATGACCCGAAGTATGACCCGAAGCTATAATAATAACAATCATTAACTAGATTATTGTCTTATCACCTTACGTTTCCAAAAACATAAATTTCAAGAAATCAAAAACAAAAGAGCTTTGACATTAGTAGGGCAAGGAATGAAAAGTAATGATAAAAAAATTTAAAAAGTGGCTTGTAAATAGAAATTTTTATTTTTATTTTCATAGCAAAAATACTTTTATAATCAAAATGTCTTGAAAATTAGGGTCTTAGAATTAAGTAAATCACTTATGATCGCTGAAAATTCAGCACTATTTACTTTTCTACAATATAGAATTAAATGTAAATCCTAAACTGTTAATAAATTTGTGTAAAAATCGTGAAATATTTGAATACTATAAGTATCCTTTTGTATAAGTTTGTATAAGTATATAAATTGTTCTTGACCAAGGATAGCAGGCAATTGATCTTCTCAGGATTTCTTATATCAAATCGCACTCGGTTACGGGTTAGCTTCTTTTGTCAGAAAGCACCGAGGCCCCTGAGGAAAACGAATATATATCACCAAATTGAATTGGAATGTAGTGATTTTAGTGTATATACACTAAAATCAATATCACCAAGGAATTGTCATGCAGTCATGTAATGTCGCTCTCATTCTCTGAATGAATGCAGGTGTTTGGTAAGCGCATCCCGTCTCATCCAAGCATTTGCAAGCAGTCGCGGGGGAACAGCTCTTCGTCCCCATCTGCTCCTCGTGGCAAGAAGCAACGGGAGACTGGAACATGGGCAGCAGCCAGCTTTCTTTATCGTAAGTCTGACAGTCGCAATTTAGCATGACGACAATTTAGCAAGTTAGGCAAGTTTTTTGAGGGAAAAAAAATTACAGAAAATTGTAATTCTCAGTTCTCAAATTTATCAAAACTTTAATATCTAGGAAAATTTTCTTTACTATATCAATATTTCATCAACAAAATTGGAAATAACTATTCACATTCCAACATTATTTGGATATATTTTCATTGAAATCAAAGTTTCAGTATATTTTAGTGAATGCTAATAAAAATTGAAGATGTATATTTGGTTTTATTCTGAGGGTTATGCAAACCATTCCGCAATATTCAGAATCACGGAATGGTTCAAAAAGTAAAAATTATACTTTATAAAATGATGGTAAAAATCATTTGAGAATTATTATAAGAGTGTTACTCTAAATGGAGAAACTTTTATTCCAGTTTTTTTTATCATGTTAAAGAAATTCAAGTGTAATTCTAATATTCTTAGAATTCAGTATAAAGATTGATTGAACTCATTTCAAGAATCATTTCAAGAATCATTTGAATAATCATGTACCTATCGGTATGTATCTTGCATACATGATTTTTTGTTAAGAAATTTGAAATGATGGTATACAAGTTTATATCCTGTCATTTTAAAATTACATCTCAAACCTGAATATTTTTTGCATAATACTATGTAATAATCTTAACATCAAAATAACTCCTACATGCTAAGTAAACTGAAATTAATATTATTATTCATTCTATTTTTTTGAAGTAGCTCTGAATTTATTTTTCATATGTCAAAATTCATATATTCGTGAATAGATATTTCATGTTGTAATTTGATTGAATTAAAAAAATCTACAAATGATGATATCTTTAACACTTATAGAAATAGTTTCTAGTAATAGGTTAGTTGCATATCTATGAAACTAGAAGAGAAATTCGCATACTTTAAATGGATCATTTAGATGTGTATGTGTACATATTTAATATATATATTTAATATATAAATATATAAATAATATATTCAAAATCATTTCTTTCAAATAATATCTTTGATTTTGTTAAGGTCAACGCAAGTGTAAAAATCTTATCTTCTATGTCAGTCAAATGCTAAGACCTACACTAATCATATGATTAATACAATAATGTTTCAAATTAAACTCGATACATCCCTCTAAGGTTTGGAATATTTTAACAATGATATAACACAATCATGTTTTAGCAAAAGAATATTATTTCCCTGTTGGATACCTACAACATCTCACTGCATACCTATATCATGTCAAATCACAACATTAAATTTATCTGTATTTAAATTCTTTAAACTTTTGAAACAAAATATCACATCTTTACTCTAAAGTCAAGCTTATAGTCTAAGTTGACTTTTTAGGCATTTTATGGGAGAAAATTACTTGATGAGACCCTTACAAAATGTAAAGCACTTGCTAGAATCCAACATAATTTATTTTATCATATGGAACCTCCAGCTGTGTAATCCACTGTCATTCTTGTTCCAACAAGAGTCATTATAACCTGATAAAGTAATAGTAAATATTAACGTCAAAGATCATTTCCTACTCAAAAGCTTAGCCTTGAATCCTAAAAAGCACCAACTTCTTGACATTTTCAAAAATGACTCCATGTAAGCTCTTCATCCATGAGTGATTACCAACACATAGACCCAAATTTGGTAATCAGGTGCTAACAAAACTGCCTCACATGAACCAAGTTCAAGTAGAATCAACAAAAATTGACAATATGATATCCATTCACATCAATTAATACTGCTCATTGTTATGAGCAGTATCATCTGTTGATGACCCTTACGCATGATAATTTATGAAATTGATGATTTTAATGTAGAAACTAATTGTGAAAATCTTTTTTCTAACAATGTTATTCATAATTTTTGGTTTACAGTTAAGAAGAGTTATATCCGTTTAGATCAGGAATTGAAGCATTGTCTGGAGTCACTTTTTAGTTCTTGTAACAAGAGTTACAAGATTTCGGGGGAGTGGATACCATCTAGTAAACTAAATTGAGTTGGGTACTAGCAAATGTTTTGCTTTCCATAAGATCACATCAAGTAATTTTCCATTAAAAAGGAAAAAAAAATCTTCTGATGAAGAGCTCGTTGATATCAGAGCTCGTTAATATCAGAAATCACACCCTCAAATATTGACATTTGAAAAAAGTTGAATATGAATAAGTTTCAACTATGAATAGAACATTGTTTATGGAATCCTTAGAAAATTTAAAATAAATGTCAAAATGAGCCATATTTAGAAGTTCCCTTGTTGAATTATAATTCACAATGGTTACTGATGTAAACACACTCAAAATCTTGACCAAAACCGTAATGTCAGAACCTATGGTTTCATATCTTTGCGCTTGGGGCAATGACGCAGTTATTGAGGTGAAACCGAGACGCGTCAATTGCTGGTTGAAAACTATTTCCATATATATGTATTTCTTCGAGACCGGAGTTAAGCTTCTTTTAACAAAATCAGCGTACTGAAAGCCTTCAGCTTCGGATCTTTCGTCCAAGTTGACGCCATGCGTAAAAAATACCTTTATTTTCGTGGACGTGCAATGCACATGCGTGACAAACGGAGAAACGATGTTTCTCCGTTTGTCAATCTTATCAATCTTCCGTGATGAATAATAATCGTTCATATAAAATTAATCAGAAGCCATTACTAAAAAGCCTTGAGTTTCGGATCTCCATCACTATGGGCTAGACAGCATAGATCGTCCTTCCTTCAATCATCAGTGCTACCATATCATGTCACCAGATCTTTTCTTCTCTCCTCCTCCTTTTGGTTATCTTAAGAATCGCATGAAGTCCACAATCTCTTGACCTTTTTGTGGCAGACTCCAATCTATAAGTTCACAGCTTAAATTACCTAGAGCTATACAAAAAGCTGGCCGTTATCGAATGTGTGGGCAAGGTACAACGACGAAGGGGTCCACTTTGGCCAAGTGGCATTCCTCATAAGCGAATATTCTCCATCCATGTGGTGCTTTTCTTACTACTTTATCAACGCTGCTGCCAGTCGCCAAGTTCAAGTCTATGCACAACCAGATGCTAGATTGCTACTAATCTAATACTGCAAATTATACTCCTTATTCAGTACTCATATCTTCTTTATGATTAATATTCGCCATACTATACAAGTATAGAAAACACTTCTTCTTTGAACCATGAATATGTTTGAAATAGGTATTTTTACGATCTTGCTATAATGATTTCATCATTGTAGATTGAAGATGGTATTGTGAATTTTGGATACATAAGGTGATGTTCATGAGTTATTTTACAACATTTATGAAAATAGAACAATGAAAATTTAAAAATTTGTTATATGGGTTGAAGCAAAGAATTATTTACTTTCACTATAACATAAATTAGATATTGAGTTGAAAAAAGTTTGAATTATATTGCCAATGAATCCAAAATATTTAAATTTTTTTTCATGTTAAACTTATCAAGGACATATTCAAAATACTTAATTTGATTTGACCATATTTTTTTTCTTCAAATTTTCATACATGTACATCCTGATATTCTTTTAATTTTTCTTATTCCTTCATCTTAAAAACACACTTCAGTTGATTCTTGCATATGTAAATATCAGATTTGAAATTTTATCATACCATTCACAAATTTTTTATCATATCTAATTATTTGTATTCTTCATGGATTACATACACTCTATAAATAGCCTTGGGTATTCTTGAGATCAGCAATCCTTGCAATCCACCATATAAGATTCTTCTCCAATCCATAGTCATTGTAGCAATCTACAAATCAGATTTTCTTGAGTTTTTTCAAAACCAATAGTTGTTCTCCCTTAAAGATCCATTAATAATTATCTGTATGATTGTATACAGTTGATAACTATAAAGAGAACAAATATGGAAGCACATATCTATCAAATTATAGAAAACGTTTCTATAAATAAGATTACATTGTTGTAGATCAAACAAAAATCTTTTGTGAGAAAACTAAGCATCAGCCTGGCTTTGAAAATTATGACATGTAGATGCAATCCAACCTTAATTTGATATGATATCTTATAGTATCATAATGAGCTTTCAAAGAACTATCTAAGATAATTCTAAATGAGAGTGAGCTAGACTATCACAACATAAGCATTATTTATCATTCCAAGACTATTTTTTTGGAAATTCCACTAGCTTAGTCACAACATAATCACTTGTTATCATTCCAAGACTAATTTTTTGAAAGTTCCACTAGCTTGGTCAGAACATAATCGTTTGTTATCATTTCAAGAGTATTTTAAGAAAGTTCTACTAGTTTTCACATCTTATTATCAATCATCAATTTCATCTCACTTTACATAAAAATATTTTATTCCAGAATGTAACAAAGATCTAAATTTATAATAAAAACAATTTTCTTCCACTCAAAATTACGCATTTATTTTAAATGTGTATTCTTAATCATTGTTATCATCATTTCCAATCCTAAGATCAAGAATGAATAATAAATCACATAAATCACATCATTAATCTAATAAGTATCAATCTTTCTTTCAATAACATACAATGAGTGAAAATTTTTCCTTTTAAAATGGAAATACTAGTAATATACTATTCTTTAAATAATTTGGAATCATTAAAGGAAATATTTCACAAGCTATAATATTCCATAGCTTGTAAACCATTTTTCACATCATATTAAAAGAATCATAAACATCATCAACGTGTTTGGCATAAAATTCAACTTGATGATATTGTTCTTACATATAAACTCATAAATTATACAAACAGAATGTTTCAAACAACAACAATCTGTTCTTTGTTTGTGACTCTATTACAATAATGTAAAAAAATTAACAACACCAAAATGAAAAATATTTATGAAATATAGTGTGCTATTGACATCATTCAATCAAAAATTTGAATGATTTACTAGATTGTGTTAGCAACGTTGTATTTCCTAAACTTTTTGATAAAATCTCTTAATGTATATTTTTTAAAATTATGATGGAATAATGAATGATATTTTTCTCTTTCCAATAAATCTTTTGAACTAAAACTTTGTTAACTTTGGTTTTTTGTGATCAAATTGATTTTTGTGTTCCAGTGACATGCTACAACAATGACACTTTTTAGCCATGAATTAGAAGTTTGTAAAAATATTGTAACTAAGTAGAAATATTTTCAATGATTGTATTGTAGAAATTTTTGTTTTATCTTATAAAACAATTAGAATTTTAAATAGATATTATGAAATAAATAAATATTAAGAAAATTTTGAACGTTAAAAATTTGAAAAGTTTAATTTATAAATACATTAATATATATAATAATAAAAATATTTAAAATAAAGAATCTTGTGATAGAGTTTTTAAAATTAAAAAAATCGGACTCAGTTCAAAGTTATCAAAGTATAACCTTGTATGAAAATCTGATAAAATATATTGAATTATGAGATTATAATCCTTACTTCTGTGAAATAGATAAATATTTAATGCATTAAATTTGATAAAATAACATGGCTTAACTTATCATTTTCTTATAGAATTTTAATGAAGAACCTTATGATAAAATATGAATGTTTTATGAATAAGATAAGTGTATGGTATATTAATTATAATGTGAAGTTTTCTGAAACATCACTCTCACGAATTATAGCATCATTGAATATGAATCTTTTTCATATGAAAATAATCAAGTCTTTAAAGATTATTATGCAAAAAAAATTATTATATCACAAATTTGCATTATAATTTTCATTTACTAAAGAAATATAGTCGAATGAGATATCACAACATAACATTTGTTTGCTTGTGTGAAAACATAATCTATTCAAAACCACTTAACAAGACACTTTGTGATTGAAAATAACATAATTACTTCTAGATTACTTACATGTTAGTCTCTAAACTGAATATTCTTATAAATTAGCTTTGGAAAAAAGTACATGAAATATCTTCAAAGGAATAACTATTAACATCAACACAATTGGTTACAAAGCAGAGAATTCAAAATTTTAGACCTCTGTTTTTTGATAATGATATTCAAATTTTTGATGAATTTATACCAACTATTATGTTAAAATATTGAAAAAATGTAATATAAAATAAGTATAAAATATGAATTTCTATATGAAAAAATAGTTTTTAATCATGTGATGTCTTCTATTTTCTTTGGATATTTTTAAATACCATTTTATTCAAAGATAGATGGTGTAATCTAAATATTATAAACACATCAATTCAATATTTGAGATCACTATTTATATTAATCAAATTCTATGTACATTCTTGATATCATATAGTTTTAAAATTTATTCGTTTTTAATTATTTATTTTCAGATGAATGGAATACACTGTTAGCTCTCTTTTTACTTCAAATGTTTGAAATGCAAGAATAATGTAATACAAGAGAATTACTTCGAATTCTTCACGAAACCAACATATTATTTCCGATGGATGAGACACTAGTTATGCAAGACATTTAACAATATCAAATACCTTTGTGCTTCGTGGAGGAAGTTCCATCTCGCTCGGCCTTGCATATCTCCGAATTGACGAATTGTTGTTTACTTGGTTGTGTATCATGATCATGCTGGCCAGATTAGGGTGATTGAGAATCTATACCAGATCAGATGAAGACCAAGGGTCAATAGCCCCGTCCACATGTCACATTTTAGAAAGTTTGACATTTTGTGAAGGAATACAAGTTTATCTACATATTAACTCTATCTAACACATGAAGTATTTTGTGTTCACAACGTGAGCATGCTAATTGACAGTAATCTCGTAAGTGCGTCACAAAAAAATTTACTTATACTTCTGTCGATCAAAATTCACCGTGTGGGCCTCGCGACTTCGGATGTGGATAAAGTTCTCGCGTGGCGATGGAATTACATTTCGATGCGAAGAAGTTTGTGGTAGAGCTGGTGGTGGCAGGCAACAGCGTTCGAACCCAGGATCTGAAGACTCGATACGTGGCTTAAAAATATTATGCACCAATTCCGCCATCTTCATACAATTTGTGGCCGTGCTCCTCTCACGACTTCTCACTGCCTCGCGACATTTGGTGCTTCGAACAATGGACCTTCATTGGGATGTGCCCCCGAGACAAATTGCATTCTTCCGCTAGCACCGCACATTGTTTGTTCCGTATGAAGTTCGCCTCTCGATTCGTGTATACATGTGGCGACACAAGGCTCCAATTATTCGCAGAGGAATCGAAGAGAAGAAGAATCGACCAGAAAATCTGAAAACGAACGTGTGCGTTTTTCACGAGCACTGTCGGATTCAATTTCCTTCTATTCTTTTCAACGTACGAGCTGCTGGGTTCATTCGTGCGGTGTCGCACTCTTGCACGCCGAGCTCTAGGGTTCAAAGAAAGCGAATGAAGTGGAAAATTTTGTGACTTTTCCAACGATGAATTTGAACATGAGCTGCGTAGTTATCGCTGGCAGTTTCCACGGTTCGTGTCATCTGAGTGGCTGGAAAGGCGATGCGAGCAACCTTTTGAGGCGAAATCCGAATCGCCCGTGGCAGCAGGGGCTTGTCAATGGACGGGCTACAACGACGATAAGGTCGTCATGGCAAGAGCTGGCAGGCGTGGTGGTATTTTCTGCGCTTCCGTTCTCGGTGGTGAAGGCAATCGCTAACAGTTCTTTAGGGGAAGCTCTCCAGGAGCGAATGATGAAAACCAAGGCTGCGGCGCAGCTCGATGCAGAGGCCGCGAAAGCTGCTCAAGCGGACGCGAGGGCGAAGAGTTTATGGTTCGGCGATTCTCGGCCCAAATTCCTCGGGCCTCTCCCTTTCGATTATCCCCAGCACTTACAAGGCGAATCCCCAGGCGACTATGGATTCGACATTCTTGGACTGGGCCGAGAAACCGCAAATTTCGACAAATTCTTCAACTTCGAAATCCTCCACGCACGATGGGCGATGTTGGGAGCCATGGGCGCAGTCATTCCCGAGCTTCTGGTCCGATACGGCGGCTTGAGCTTCAGCGAACCAGTTTGGTGGCGGGTAGGCTACGCGAAGCTGCAGGGCGAAACTCTGGACTACTTCGGAATCCCCGGTCTGCATGTCGCCGGAGCGCAGGGAGTGTTGGTGATCGCCTTCTGCCAGGTTCTTCTCATGGTAGGCCCCGAGTACGCAAGGTACTGCGGCATCGAGGCGCTGGAGCCTTTGGGAGTGTTCTTGCCCGGAGACATCAATTATCCTGGCGGTGCCCTTTTCGATCCGCTCGGCCTTTCCAAGGATCCCTCCACATTCGAGGATCTCAAGGTGAAGGAAATCAAGAATGGGCGCCTGGCTATGGTGGCGTGGTTGGGCTTCTACGCGCAGGCTGTTGTCACAGGAAAAGGTCCTGTCGAAAATGCTCTTGATTTTCTCAGCGACCCTGCCCATCAAAACCTTTTCGCATATGCCACTTCTTCCTAATCATGTATATTGGATGGAACCAGAATCGCCACCTTAGATTCGAGTGACACGAGATCTGCTCTAATTCAATTTACAATGTACATACTGTCGATCGATTATTTTAGAAATCTTCAATAAAATTTTGTGTCTTTGTGTCACGAGCTTGTGATTCTGGAAGTGAAAGTACGAAAGCAGATCCCAGATTCTTAGCGCTGTCGGAGCTGAAGTGGGGAGATGGGACCTCGAGGAGCTGAGGAGGATTGGTTCTTGAACTATTCTTGGAAAGTATCCAAATGTAAAGAAACGTCAGGTTCTTTTCAACACTCCTGAATGACATATGTTGCATCGCTGCAACTCAGGAATCTTCAATTCATCAAGACTTTATCACCATGTGACTCCCACTCGCAAAACTCGGATTTGAAGCGTAGTATTTATTGCGGCCAGAGTTTTTTTTTTCCTTTCAAATTAGTGATTGTACAAAAGAAAGAGAAGTTTCTTCTTCAGAGGAGTGAACATATCCTTCATATCATATGTAACCTTCATATCACACTTCAAAATTAATGAAAAACTACCATTAAACTTATGACTTGTCTTAACATCATTTCTACGAAAATCTAAAATAGCAAACCTTGATAAATAGCATGAGTAATGCACGTGAAAAACTTCCCAACAATTTCAAAAGTACCAGGAAAAAACTAGTTAAATGTCATTCAATTGACAGTAGATAGAACTTGTAACGTCACAATCTATTATGTTTTTTTTCTAAGGAACCTCTTCACATAGATTTAACTTGTCCAAATAAGTGTATAAAAATGTCATTCAAACTATGACTATCCAATCAGAAATATATGAATAAGAAATAATAAATTAGAGAAAGAGTGTTTTGTTACACATTAGTTAGTATCTATATCTCTATTCCATCAAGCAATTTCTTTCAATTCAATGAATTACTTTCAAAAGAAACTTGAAATTTTGATTTTAAGTTGAATAGTTGAAATATTCATTCATATAAATTCTCCAACATGCATTCTCATGCATATTTTGTTCAAAAAAAAACTATAAAAAACTATCATAGGTGATATTATTATTCATGGATAGACAAACGTGATTATTGTTTCAAGGTGGATATGGATGGACATAACTTCAAAATGGATACATAGCCCATGTCAATCAATATTGCTTGAGACCTAACCTGTTTGTCATCTCAATACAATGTGTTAACATGACATGTGTCATGGAGAGCAAGAAGATTCTACATTGTGCACATTAAATTGTTCCATGCTTTCGCAGTTGGAAATCTAGGGCGAGTTCATGAAGTGATGTTGGGGATTAGTGGCGCAAATGATGATTGATCTTGAGAGTAGTTCGATCTTTTGAGCCAAACGCGTTGATCTTGGTACAAAAATGCGAGGTGGAGGAGTATTAAGTTTCTTGGGGCTGAGGTTCCAACGTTGACACTTGCTAGCTCTACAAAAACCTATGGACATGGTGGATTTGAGCATGGTCCATGACCAGGCTTGCTTATAATAGACGTTTAGAGTTTTCGGCGCCTACATTAACTAAAATAATTCTTAGGAGGTGCTTAAATTAAGTACCTCGATACTGCTCTTAAATTAAGGTACTTGAGATCATTGCCATACCTTAATGAAACTCTTAATTCTTAATGACTCTTAATTCTTGTGAGGCGCCTAAATTAAGTCCCTGGAACAGAGAAAACATATCGTGTCAACGAAAAGCTGGTCGGTTTTGAAGTCACAGACGTTGCCAAAGCTGTTGTGGAAGCTGTCTGTCCTGGTGTCGTTTCATGCTCATACATCCTTGCTTATGCAGCTCGTGACAACACAGTCAAAGTACTCGCACTTCATGCCTGAGAAAAAACTTGCATTCACCAGCCGCTGAGTGCATCCGTCTGAATTGCAACACTTAATTAAGACCCTCAAGACAGCTCCTAAATTAAGGCTCTTGAAACCATGGTCATAGCCCCATTAGATTGCTCCCGTCACAAGTTCAATGTCGAAGAACAAGCTCAGCTCTGTCTATGTCAAGGCCAATGATGCTAAATATAGTTTAAAAGTGGTATCGCGTTGTGCTTCTACTTCAGCCGTCATCGGGTTGCAATGTCTTTTCTGCATTATGTTCGGTCGTGAGGAGAATGTTGGCACAAAGCGCAAGATCACTACCAACGTGCAAGGTTGGAGTGCATCATTTGGCTACGACAACATTGAGCTTCACATGAAGAAGCAACACACTTTCAAATTTGGACAATATGAAAAGTTGCTATCAAAAGCGAAGGAAAAACATTTCTTTGATGACATCGAAGTCCCTTTTAGAAGCACTCTCAAGGCTCGCTTTGTCTATGAAGCTGCAGGCAACCGTGAGATTTTCTTCATCATCAACAAGGGCATCGTTGAAGTAATCGGCGGTGAGATGTTGTATTCAACGAAGGATGAGATCAGTGATGACGACAAGCAAGAGCATGCGTTTGGGAGTGAGCTCAAACATGCAATTGTGGTCGCTAACCGTCATGCCAGTGCTGTGAAGACGAAAAAGTGAGCGATGACACTTTTCAAATGCAGTGAGCCAGTTGATAATGATGACAAAATGCCCTCTTTATATACTGTCACAATTGCAAAATTCAAAACTCAACTCTTCAACCTTGCCATTTGATACTTTGCATGTGGAGCATCGTTCCCCATGACAACAAACATCATCGGTGAGACATATCAAGTCCTATCTGCTCCGTCGCTACGTTTTTGCTCTCATGAGAATGTCAGCAGCTTCGTAAGGGTAGTTTGTGCTGCCAACTTTCAACGTCTATATGAGCTGTTGAAAAAAACTTGGATCTTTTTGTTAGCGCTAGACTCAGCATCGCATCAGAGCACATCATATTTGGATGTTCGTCTTTGTGTGTATGTGAAGAAAAACCGCGTTATGTCAAAAATTGATAGTGCACAACCCTGCACGGGTGTGCACTGCCAATTTTTGAACGAGACACAAGCGAAGTCATGTTCAACATGATTTCTCAATTTCTTGACGTACTCTATCTTCATTGGAGAATTTGTCTTCTCGGCGTGTCGAGCGATGCAGCTCAAAATATGACCGTACATGTCGCAGGCATCGTGACAAGGCTTCAGGTAGAATTTCATAAAGATTGTGATCTTGTCCAAATCTGGTGCGGAGCTCACCAGCTTGATCTAGTTATGCAGCACATCATGAATGCAGGTGTGAAGGAGCAATTCTTTTATGTGATGACAAGTTTCATTACGCATATCAAGCGACAGCACAACCTGATTGCAGAAATGAGTACGACATGTCATCGTGTTGTAAACCGATGGCTTTCTACATACAAGGTTACAACTTGGTTCAAGAAGCACGAGCCTGAGCTTCTAGCTTACATTGAGTTGAAGTAGTCTACGAGTGCCCCGTCTCGACTTTGATGGATGTAGCTTCTTGCCATGGATACCTTCACGGTGAACAGCGGCAAAACATTTTGTAAGATTCAAGGCCTCACGATCCTAATATCGTAACAGGAGGCGGAGCTCAACGCTCTCGTTGGCACCTTCATCGAAGATCTTGGTATCAATGGGCCGTTGACAGAAGAAATGATTTTTGTCATGGATGTGACAACGCAAATCATCAGGGGTTGCTACGCTCTCACACTTCTGAACGTGCAAGAATTTGTTGTCAGACTCGCATCGTGGGTTGAAGTCATTATAGACACTACATATGAGACGGAACGTAAGGAGTTGCTGCAAGATGTTGGTCTAGTCTTCGTCAAAGCATGTGCTCGCATTGAGAAAATCATTATGCAGCGTGATGTAGACAACAACCCATTTGTCGATCCACTCGCGCTACCACTTGTTTTACCACAAGAGCTTGTTCGCGCTTCCGCTGCCGACTTCATTCAAAAGGCTCGTAGACAGAGCTTTCGCCTGCAACATCGATACTCTACGACACAAATAGACTTTATTGCTGACGAGCATAACGCTCTTCCTCAAACTTACCGCAATGAGCCTGTGCTGCAAGAGAGCACTGATGGCTGTAACCAAAAGACATCCTTTGACAATGCTTGGGATTTACTTGGTGCTCGATTTTCAAGCTTGGTCGAGTTTTGCGGTGGCATTGCAACAATATTTTCTGGCACGAGTACAGTGGAGTCTAACTTCTCGATTCTAAGGTGGGAGAAATGTGATCACCGCAAGAGTCTTTCAGACTTTGGACTTGAAGGTGTGTTGCAGGCGAAGCAGTATATGCAAATTGAGTCACTTGTAGATTGTGATAGTTGGGGAGTGACCTCGCATCTTGATTACCTATCAGTCGATTGATCGATAATACACATCTTCTTGCACGAATAAAATTTCCAATATTCATGGATTGTCTCTCGTACTCTCTCGATGAAATCTTGAGCTTTGTGTCTCTCCTCCTTTCTCAATGGAATACCGAGCTTTTCTGTCTGTGGATCCACGTGTGAGTGAGTCGATTTACGTGGCAGCGGTTTTTGACTCTCATTTCTCCGCTCGTTGCAACTGCTTTATGGAATTTCTTCACTGCTCTCGATTGTCATCGAACTCCGATACATAACTATCCAGACCACTCGAAACTCGTTAGATCTTGTAGATATGTTGCATGCCACACATTGTACGTGTTTCGCGTTTCTTCGATGAATGGGGCTGTTATTCCACTAGCAAAATTTAATTCACGAAGATCACTTAGCGCTCGATGAATCGTATTTCGGCGACAACAAGTGGGGATATAATATACAGAAGGATGCAAAGCATTCCACACTCCGGTGCAACTCAAGCTCGTTTCGGCTAGAATGTACTTGCCCCAGACCGATTGCTCGTAAGTTTGAGGGAGGAAGGGAGAGGGACAAATTTCCAATTCTCGTATATTGGTCTTCAACCTCAAGTAAATGTGCTAGCGCCTAAATTAAGTCTAAAACGACGATTATAATAAGCTAATTTAGATAATTTAGGCGATCGTCTATTATAAGCAGGCTTGCCCATGACGCATCCAATGTTGGGCTCTGGTGTTTACATATAAGCTTGTGCTTGTACATTTGTGAATTTTTTAGTAATTTACTATAACACTAAGGTTTAGAGAGAAGTTCACTCGAAGATAGAAATGTAAACTCTGAAGATGAAAGATACCAACAAT